GAAAAAGGGTTGCGACAAGAGTTAGCCCCAAGAGCCAACCCAGGTGAGCATAGTCCCTCTGGAGGGGAGCTGTGGGCAGGGAGGGTGGAAAGCTGGCACAGTAGGAATATGGCTCTCCTGTCTTGCTGTCCCTGCCACACAAGGTTACCTGTGAACCACAATGGGTGGCACTGTCAGAAGGACAGAAGGGGTGGGGGTGTGGGCTGGGGTGGGGGGATGGCGCCTCTGCAGTGAGATGAAGGCTTCCTGGCTGCCTGTCACAGGAGGCCGCGCCCACACTGCCCTCCCACCTGCGACCACCCTTCCCCACACCCTGGACTTTGGGACCCAGTGGAGAGTGAAAGGCCCTCCTGCTGCCTCAGCACTGGGGTGGTGCAGACCCCACCCTGACCAAGGTGGGCACAGCACCAAGGGGCCTGGCCAGGCAGGCCTGGCACTTCATGGCGGATGCTGTCAGGCGGGGAGTCCTGGGAACACAAGGTGCAGGAGCTGGATCCTCCAGCCCCCATCCCCCCAGCGGCCTTGGCCATTCCCAGGCAGTGAGAGCAGGAGGCCCAGCCTGCATTCCCTGACTGGTTGGGCAGGTGCAGAGCCCCTGCTTGCTGGGAAGCCAGGGCGGGGCCTGGGGAGACTGCCACTCCTGGGCACAAGGGAGGTGTTTTCTCTGGAAGTTCTCCTTTGCCTCCCTTTTGTTTCTTTTTTTTACTTTGCTGCGTTAATGTTTGGGACAAGCCCCAACACACCTCTGTCAGGGAGCTTTCGTCCCACTGCTCCAGGGGACTCCCTCACACCCCCTTCCTTCCTCTATTCCAGAGGGCTGAGTGGGTATGGTCAAGTCTCCTTCAGCACCGGCACCTGCAACGCCAGGAATTTGGCATTGGTTTGGAGTGATCCCACACAGGTTCTGTGGTGGAGGTGTCCTGCATGAGCACGACAGGCCAGAAGTCTTACCCACACCTGGGGACCCTCTGGATGTTTGTAGACATTGACATTTGAGTACCGTGGCCAAAGAAATAATAGGAAATGCGATTACGAAGAACAGGGAAGAATGGGTCAGCATTCTGTGTCAACAACAAGGGTGGCAACTCTGCTGTCCAGGGGGCCCAGGCAGACATCGCACCCGTGTAGAGAAGTCAGGGAGGTGTTGGCAGACCGGGACAGAGGCCAGTGAAAGCAGGTTATAAAACAGCTCGTGCCCTGAGATCCCACACAGAGTATGTGGAAAAACCCCGCGACAGTTGTCGGCTGTGGGTGGTGGGGTAACAGGTGATTTCCTTCTTTATACTTCAGTTTCCAAATTTTCTACAGTGAACATGTATTCCTTATATAAGCCAAGATAAAATTTTCTTTGGCAGTGCTGGGGACTGAACCCAGGGCCTTGTGCATGCTAACCAAGTGCTCTGCCACTGAGCTCCACCCCCAGCCCTCAAAATAGATTCTAAAATGGTATTTAAAAAAAAAATAGTTGCCATGTGTCACAGCCCATGAGAGCTTACTGAGGCAGCAGCCACAGGACTTCACTATGCCCCCAGCCGGGGAGACTGAAGCTCAGAGAGGAGAAAAGACTGGCTCTGGGTCCTCAGTGAGACATCTGGCTCCAAGTCCTGGGCTCATTTTGCTGCTCTATGACTTTTGAACATTCCAGACTTCTCATGGGTGGGACCGCTTCTCCTAACAGCAGCTTGGAAGGCTGCAATTGCCTGGTCTGCTCCTCATTCTGCTCTTCTATTTCTGGGCCAGCCTGGTACTTACCATGTCTCCTAGAGTGCCCTGAGGGGGTGGGTGTGTACTCACAGGCACTCCAACTGCATTTCCATCCACAGGTAAAAAGGAAACAATCTTCTGATGGATAGCAAGTCCTCCTCAGGCTGTGGGGTTTCTAACTCCCGGGAGGGCATTTCAGCTTAGAGAACAGGGCTTTTTACCTGTGGCCCAGACACCAAAGTACTGGTTTGCAAGTGTGGCTCTATGGTCACAGTGACTGGCCTGTGCACCTCCTCCCCACGTCTTGGCCCTGCATACCAGGCTCTGCCTTGCTGAAGGGAGGACAAGAGGAGGAGGAGGAGGTCTTGCCTGGGTCCAGACGTGCTGACCACCACCCAAAACTTAACCCTAAGACCCAGCCAGACAGGGTCAAATTATGACTATCAGCAACTCACTCTTCTGGCACTGTTGGCTGATGTTCTGTGGCCACTCTGCCCTCTGCATTAGTCACAAAGCCCTAGTGCTTAGCCACCCTCGTTCCCAACACCTGGCCAGGTGGTGAAACCTCCCAACAGCCTGAGAATTAGGATGAGGGGGTATTATGAGCAGCAGGGTGCCCTGCCTGGTGGAACTCACAAGATGCCTGCACCACTCCTGGGGGGGTGAGGGACTGGGGCTGTGATCCTGCTCTGCCACTGGGAAGAGTGGGGCCTAGTTCTGGATCCTGTAGGGCAGGGAGGGGAATCTGTCAGGAATTTAGATGGAGCAGAGACCCGTGGCTCCAGAAGCACAGGCTGCTCAGCATGGCTCTGGAGTCCCAGCCCAGCCCATCCCCTTGCAGGATGGCTTGGATGGCTGATGGCTCCAAGGTCAGGCTTGGTTTCCTTGGCCTTGTGTCTAACCTGGGCAGGACTCCATGTCAGCTCTCTCCTTCCCACAATCTGCCCAAAAGCCCTCCGGGAAATACTGCCCTGTTTGCCCCAAGCTCGCTGTCCTTGAGCTGTGTGCACTGTCAATTCTTCCTGCTTTTGAGACACTCTTACACTGCTGACCTCAGTTGGGCAGGAATTAGGTCCTCCTTCACTGCACTGGCTACCAAACTAAACTGCACCCATCATTGGTACAGGTGGTTGGTGTCAGCACTGCCAAAGTTTGTCCGCAAAATATGACTTACAGCAAATCCAAACCAACCCTTGCACACCCGCAGCCCTGGCTACTTAGGAGGCTGAGGCAGGAGACTGCAAATTCCAGGCAAGAATGGGCAACACAGGGAGACTGTCCCAAAACAAAAAAATAAAAAGGGTCAGGGATGTAGCTCAAGGGTAAAGGACTTGCCTAGCATGTGTAAGGTACTGGGGTTCCATCCCCAGCACCACAAAAACTAACAAAAGTGAAGTCTAAAGTCTAGTTTTGTTCATACTTTTTTTTTGTACTGGGAACTGAACTTGGGGGTATTCGACCACTGAGCCACAGCCCCAGTCCTATTTTTGTATTTTATTTAGAGACAGGGTCTCACTGAGTTCCTTAGTGCCTCACTTTTTGCTGAGGTGGGGCTTTGAACTCGAGATCCTCCTGCCTCAGCCTCCTGAGTTACTGGGATTACAGGTGTGAGCCTGGCAGCTCCTTAGTACTTTTGACTCATCAACTGCCCCAAACATTGAATTACACTTCAGATGCTTGACTCTCTCAGGAAGAAAGAACGTGGGGTCTCATCCAGACCTGAAGCACTGGCTTGACAGGGACCAGCTAAGCAACTGCCCCAAAGTCACAGCAACAAGGGTCCATCTTGGAACAGCAGGAGGGGCCAGAGGTTAGCCTCTCTCCTGGAGACCAGGAAGGAGGAACAAGGCACTAACTGCTTTCCTTTGTTCCCCTGGACTGGTGGAGGATTATATACAGGACTTTGTTTTTTCACCAAAGTTGGAGTTTGGTTCACCTGTAAGACACACCCTCCATAAACACTGGGACAAGGGATGGGCAGTGTGGCTGTCCTGGACCACAGGAACTCCCAGCACTCTGACAGGCGTGCACTTCCTCCCCATGTCTTAGTCCTCCAAAGTGCACAGAATGAGCGAGGATCCAGGCACACAGGGCAGTGGGCAGCAGGCTGGGGCTGAGGCCTGGGCCACGGGAACTCTGTATAAAGAGCCTGGCCCAAGGAGGGAGGGGAGCAGGGTGAAGGAGCCCGGAGTGCACAGCCCAGGACGCGGTGCTGTGTCTGCAGGCATGACTGCACATGCTCCTTCCCAGCTCAGTTCTATGCAGAACTTGGCTGCTGGGAGAATGAGCTCGCACCACCCACATGGGCAGCAGCTCCCTTGAGGAGGGGGGGGATGAGGCACGCCCCTGCAGTCCCTGCTCCAGAAGGTGCCGTGGTACAGGTGAGACCCAGGACCCACCTATTCCATGCTGCGGGGTCTGTCCTGTACTGGCAGGGCCACAGCCCTGCTCCCTAGATGTTGGGTCGCTTCCTGGTGAGGTAATGGGGACTGAAGCCCCCAGCAGGAGTGCACTGTCTCGAACACGCTCTGTTGGGATGGCGACAAGATGGAGCTGTCTGGGAACTCAAGGTGTCACTGCCCACACAGCCCAAGTGGGACATGAGACAGGCCCTTGGCACTGCCTTCCACCTGCTGTTCCTGCCCTATCCACTGTGCACCTGTCTCCTCTCCCCTGACCCCACCTAGCAGGCCTCCCCCACAGCCCCCTGCTGCCCTTGGCGCTCTGTGTTTCTCTGCCTTGGGTGACCGGGTGTCTCAATGACAGGGTTTTATACCTTGTTTATTTTTGTACTCCTAGCCAGCACAGGGTCCTCCAGAGTAGCAGTTAGCTTGGAGAAACTAAATTTCAGGGAGGGGATGAGCATCTTATTTTGGATCCTGGGATCAAACGCAGAGCCTCCTGCATGTTGGGCAAGCACTTCCCACTGAGCCCCGCCCCAGCCTCAAGGAGCACAATTTAACCTTCAAATACCTTAACCTCGACCAGTTAAAACCCCCAAGATCAGAAGACCCCCAGGGTAGTCCAGGAAGTGCATGCTTCAGGAAAATGCAGAAGCAGCCCAACTTCCCAGGTCCCTGGGGTGTGCTGCTGAGTACCAAATACGCTAAAGAGGGGCAACTGGAGACTTCCCTTCTGCTTGGGGGTGGGTCTGCAAGGCTGACTTAAAAACTCCTGGGTGGGTTCAGAGGATGGGGTATGAAGTAACAGGAAGTTGCAAAAGGCAGGGGTTTCTCACGGTCAAGGATCATGTGACTTTCCTTTTCCATAAGTCTCAATCTGGTTCACTGACACCCCTCGATTCTTCTACTCACTGGGTAAGAAGACATTTATTTCCCCACAGCTGGGATCCATTGGTATGAACACCCAGGCTGCTGGAAGCTTTGCTAACCAAGCACTTAAGGTAGGCCACAGTCAAGTCAGCAGAGCATCCAGCCAGGCTGACATCCACGTCCCAAGGTGAACCTCAAGGTGAACCTCAGGGCCAACTTTCTGGTCTCTGGCAGGTGGTGGGAGGCATGCACAGGCTCCCCGGCATAGCTTGGTTTATCCGAGAAAGCACTTAGAAGCAAGGCCACTGCGGGAGACCGCGGCCTATTGGGCCCAAAGAGGCTGGCTGCTATTCTATTCTTGGGTTGAAATCCAAACGCCACATGACAGTGACCCTCTGCAGTATGGGGCATAGACTAAAATGCTAAGCCAAATGTTCTTAACCCCCAGAGGACTGCTGATGGCAAATGTCATCCCAAGGCAGGATCAACTACTCTATATCCACAGAAGTCACCGTTGGGACTTGGGTGGTGTGACTGACCTGGGTGGAAGGACTGTGGGCATCAGCGATACTGGCAGCTGGATGTACCCTGCTTAGTTCCTGTCCCGGCCTCAAGGCCTCAGCCTGTTGCCAGACAGGAAGGGCTGGTGGAGACGGTGGCTGGGCCAGAAGCCAGACCTAATCCCCCACAGCTGCTGCCTGTTGGCGGCAGGGTCAGCTCTGACTGCCAGTCACCAAAGCTGTCCTGTGCTCTCCAGATATCTCCTGGGCCTCGAGAAGACTTCTGCAAACACAGCTGCTCATTTTGCACTCAGGGCCAGGGTGCTACTCGAGGTACTCAGGATACAGAAGAGCTGAAGACCTGCTTCCCAGGGCTTCCTGACCCTGTGTTAGCCAGGGCTGGGGAGGGCGGTAGGCAGTCTCTAAGTTTACAAACAAAGGTGACTGCTTGTGGAAGCAAAGCAGCAGACAGCCCAGTCCTGTTAGCAGGTTCAGACAGCAGGACTGTCCACCTCAGACACAGGGACATTCCTCATCAAGACTCCTCTCTGGCAGTCTTCCCTTGAAAGCCACGAGTGTGCTGCTCAAGACCTCAGTGCCTTGGTTGGGCTAGGAGGGAAGAGGTTGGCATGGGTCCCTGTTTCATGATCCGTGCAGTAGGAGATACTGTGGGAGCCTACTACCATCTGCCAGGAGCTCTGCACAGCACATGCCACCTGCCTGGTGGACTGCCCAGCGGCCCTGGGTCAAATGTGATTAGTGTCATCCTGACTTTTAGAGCTGTACCTAGGGGGTTTCACTCATGTAGGTGGTCTCCAAGTGGGCATCAGGAAGCCAGGCTACCAAGGCCCATGGCACACACCCCAATCACTAGGCCATTCTAATTCATTTGACTTTTGTGGTACCCGGGACTGAACCCAGGGGCCTTAAACCAATTCACTTTAATGGGTTGAAGCATGTTAGTAGTGGTCCTGCCGCAGAATGGAATCACTGTGGCTTTCCTGCCACCCAGACCTAGCTACAGCAGCTGAGCAGAGAGGCATGATGCCTCTGCTGGGCTGGGTCTCACCTCCTGCCAAGAGTGCCTTCCTGCTTTGAATTCACAGTGGCATCTGTGCAACATCCACTTTGCTGTCTCTTTTTTTAAATTGATATTTTTTTTTAATAGCAGATGGACATAATACCTTTATTTTATTTTTATGTGGTGCTGAGGATCGAACCTAGTACCTCATGTGGTTTAGACAAGCGCTCCACCAACTATGCTACAGCCCCAGCCCCTCTGGTTTCCCTTCTGCCTCAAGCCGCCCTGAACACCTGCCTCCTCCCAGTAGTCCTCTGCATATTCCCAGGAAGAGCAACAACTTCCCCCACTTAAAGGTGGGCCCTGTGGTCTAAGGGACTCTGGCTTGTCAAACTGTAAAACCAACAACTGACAGACAAAAGACACTAAAAAAAATGACAAGAGCAGCATATTGCGAGCCCTTCCTCCAGTCTGAAATGGACCGGTCTGAAATGCGAGCTTGTGGGCCGCCAAGGGTCACTGTGTGGCCATTCACCAGGCAGCAACAGCCCAGGGCGAATTCCACAGCCATGGTCACTATTCACACACTCCCCATGGAGACTTCACGCTGCTATCCACACCTTCTGGGCTTCTAGGCACAGGCTTTGAATGCTCACAGCAAGGGCCCCTCAGGTTTGCCTCAGGGTTCTGCCATCACCCCTAGTGGTGAGAGGAAGAGGCCCTAGAGCCCCACTTCACCCCCTTGCAGGAAAGCCATTTTGGCTCCTCTGGCTCACCTCACCTGGAGGGGAAGTCTGCATTCACTGGCCAGTGAGCACTGTTCTCAGGACTAGGACAGCACTCTGCTTGCTGGGTTAACAGAATCAGGACTATGGCTTGCTAGGTACCTTACTGCTGAGATTCCAGGGGAGAGGTCAACAAAGAAATATGGCATCGTCTAAGTCTCAAATGACTTTAATTTATTCAAGAATATTCTCTTGGGGCTGGGGTTGTGCCAGTGGTGGGAGCCACTGGGTTCAATCCTTAGCACCACATAAAAAATAAAGCTATTGTGTCCATCTACAACTAAAAATATATTTTAAAAAATAAAATGCCATATTCTGATGTGCAATCTTAAGGCAAGCCTGGGCTCCTCGGTGATGCCGAAGGTGAAGGCCATAACCACGGTTAAAATCACACCAACACCAACTGGTAACAGACTTCAAGCAAGCTACAGACAGCCGAGGACTCCTCATGTGAGCAGCAACATACTGAAATGCAGCCACAAGGACAAGCAACCAAAGGCCGTGGAACGTCTGCGTGCATGTGAGGAGGGGACACTTCACCAAGGGCACATGGTGAGCACACTTCCTTCAAGTCTAGCTTCCAGTGTTCCACTGGCCCTGTGAATGGTAAGATGAAAACCATTCTAAACAAGCCCATTTCCACAAGTGTCCGTAGGGTGACTGCAGTATTTTGGGGGGCCAGCCCCACAGTGCTGGATTTCAGAGTGGCTCAGAAGTCTCTGCCCTGAGGACGTGATTTATGGCTGCCTGCCCAGAGGAAGGATAGTGACCAAGAGAGACTGCAGGGGGTGCACACTGCCGGTGGACCTCCCAAAGAGGCCCTGTGTACCTGGACAGCACCCTGTCCTCTTGTCTACTAAGTAAGTAGAATATAAACATAGCACCAGGCCATGGTGGATAGTCCTTGGGTCAGAGCACTGAGCTGCTGCTTAACTTTACTGTAAAAGAGCAACTCTGGGGAGGGGCTTGGCATTCTCCATTAAGCAGGCTAGATAGTTCTGGAGACACGACACATTTGACCACTAGGTCATGGGTGAGTGGCTGGCCGGTTCAGCTTCTTCTTCCCATCGACCTTCAGAGGCCCTGGGTGTTCCTGGCTGGTTCACACAATTGCCTGCTTGATGTCTCTGAAGGCTCCTCAAACTCCAGTGTGCAGACCTGCTGTCCTGAGACTCTTCCCTTCCGCCAGGCTCCCTCCAGTCACCTTCCCCCTTTAAACTCACAGCAGCACTCTTCCTTCCTCTAGCTACTCAGACAAAAACCCACACCGGCACCCTTGTTCTTCCCTCTCACTGACCTCAGATCCAATCCAAGAGAAATGCAGTTGTCTCTTATTTCAAAGCACATACAGAGCCCAGTGAGCATCTGCAGCGGGCCCACGCTTGCCTGGACCAGCATGACCTCTCGCCCATTACTGCCAACAACCTCCGCAGGGCTTTCCTGGCTCTTCCTCGCTTGCCCATGAAGAATTCCAAACATAGCTCCAGAGCAGTCCCTCGACACTGAAGGCGTGCCACTCTGGCTGGAATCCCCAGCAGCTCCCATGTAAGAGCATCTACAATGGCCCACAAAGCCCACTGACATCCTGGTGCTGTCCCAACATCTCTGCTCCAGGCCATGAGGGTTCTGGCTATTAGGCTCTGCAGTGCTCTCTGCTTCAGCCTGGACAAGGTGCTGTTCAAGGAGCCCTGCACCTACCCTTGGAGCTACTCATCACACGACAGCCTGAACGCGGGGCCCTCAGGAGCCTCCGGCCTGCTCTGTGGTGTCCTTCTTCGCATTTTTGTTCCGCACTAAGTAGCTCATTACTTCTTGTTTGTTGACCAGCTGTTGGAATGTATGTTGCAGTCCGACAGAGGTCTGTGTTTTCTGTTCACAGATGGGTCCAGCACAAGAGTGCCCTGTCTGTGGCAGACAGTAAGTACCTGTGACCGAAGGGCCGTCCAGACTTTCATATTCCTGGCAACAACCAACCCAGGATCTGAAACAGCACCCTGATTAAAGTGACAATTTCCCCAAGACACTAAAGCATTAAACTAAGTGACAAGTTCATTACCTCCTCTCCATGACATGTAGGTGTTATAAAAAAAAACTGTAGGACTGATGTGAGATCCATGAGGAAGGAAGGAGGGACATCATACACTGTACGACAGTCGACCCAGGGCTGCCTGAGCCAGCCTCTCTCCACTGCGGGGTGTGCTCAAGTGCCCTCCCTCTTAGCGCATAGGGAAGGCTGGGGAGAAAAGGGGTTCAATGCCAGGATCCACGATGAGGACAAAGTGGCCCTGAGCATGCAGATCTGTTCCTTGGCTTTTACCCACCTTGGTGATGGGGGCAAGGAATGTGCTTTAGGGGCTACCTTAATCTAAGTCTTAAATACAGTATTAGGAGACAATGCAAGTTTTACTGAGAAAAAGTGAATTTTTAATTATCTTGTGAATCTACTTAGAAAAACACACACAAGCAATGTTCACAACTATAAATTTAAACCTTTTTTGCACTAAAAAAAAAAAAAAACACAAAACAACAAACACAAAACCACAGGCATGAACTGTAAACCTGTATTAATATCAACTAGTCTTAAGGTTAACTCTTAGCAGTAATTCAGTATTTTCCTCCTTGGCAATTGTAATGTTTTAGCACCAAATGATCTCCCACAGAGGTACTAGTAACAACACTGGCTGCCAGTGTAAGGAGATGTTTCCACACACACTCCTTGCACACACACCTTCCACTCACACCAACAAGGAGACATGTGCAGATGGTGTCACACGCTGACTCCAGGGCAATGGAAACAAGACAGAGGCACGGGGGTCACACGACTTTAATGTAGTGCATTTGTAGAAAAGGCCAGCCTCCGCTCCCAGGCGTGCGCTTGTCCTCAGACTTTAATGTCATGATTTAGAAGATGCAGACGTTATTGCCTAAATATTATTCTATACATTTCCATCAGTGTTCAGGAAAACACTTTAAATTGCTACTTAATTTACACCATAGTGACTGGGTTACAGCTTTAGCTCATTGGCAATTTTGGAAGCAATATTTTTGAAAGCTATGGATGTCCCTGATATCCGCTTGAACCGGACCCCATTCAGAGACAGTCTTGGCAGCTTACACACCTCCATCTCCCACTGCACCATGTTCTCTGCGTGCCCGTCGCCCTGGACGCAGAAGAGCAGGAAGCGCTCCCTCTGCTCATAGTCGCAGTTATTGGCGTCCAGCACTTTGCGGATTTCCCGCATCATGTCACTGGGATCCATGGAACTAGTGGTTTTCATGCTCCAGGTGAAGCGCAGGGAGCGAGGCTTTGCTTCTTTGTTCTCATCCTTCGGCTCAGCATGGACGTTGCGACTGGAATGCACAGGGGCAGGGTCATTCTCTACTGTACAGGACAGCGAGCCCTTTCTACCATCAACACAAAATGACAATGACCTCCACCCTTTGCCTGTGCAGACTTGCATTTGCTAGGAAGTGTTCCTCTGTTCCCACCATCCCAACCAGAAGCCACATGCACAAGAATCTACCTGGCTGAAAAGTCTTCACTAGCCCCTCTACTGACTAAAACTAAGAGAGTGATTTACTCAGCAGAGTCCTTGGAATCAGCACAGTGAAGACAAGGCCTAGGTCTGTGTCTGGGAAGTACTGGTGGCCTGCCTCAAAATTCTGCCTACCCCACTGTTGCGCTGCTAATCTAGTCCTGCTCACCATGACTGTGGCAGAAACTGGTACTCAGGATTACCAGGGGACTCCACGCCTACAGCTCACAATCACTCTTCCCTGTCAACAGCCCCAGATGCTGAGTGCATGGCCAGGTTGGCCATCCTTATGGTCACTTCCATTCCAATGTTTTTCCTTTTCTCCATTTTGCTAAACTTCCAATTTCATAGTTAAAAACAAAAACAACATCTGGTGGCATGTGCCTGCAAGTCCCAGCTACTTGGAAGCCTGAGAGTCACCTGAGCTCTGAGTTCTAGACCAGCCTGGGCAATACAGAGAGATCTCATCTCCTTATCCCCAAAGAAGAAAAAAGGAAGAATTCTTAGATGTCACAATCTTATTAGTGGAAAAGATGGAAAAATGAAAAATTTCAGCTCAATCTGTGCCACACAGGAATGATCTACCCAGTGAATGGATTATTCAGATCACAAGCTAAAATTCTGTGTTGAGATATTTGAAAGGTCATAAAAGAGAGCCCCAGCTCTCACAATTTGGGACTGTGATTGAGAAAACAGCACCAGCTCAGGAGAGGGAGGGCAAGATGCTGGAGAGTCACAGGAGGGGAGTCCAGCCTGGCAAGACAGTGAGACCAGGCAGGACAAGAAGAAAGGGCCTGCTGGGGGCAGCCTGAGCGCTCTGAAGAGCCCCTAAATGGGATTTCAACAAAATACCATTCAGCCAAGGATGAGTTTTGTTTTGAGCAGAAAAACCCAAGGTATGGAGGCAGGAAGTATAGGATGTGTTTCTGGGGCAGAGTGCACAGGTTGCCTGCAACAGGCACAGTGGTACCCCAGGACAGCCCGAGGCCTTGCTCAGCAGTTGCCATGGTGGGCCTCATCTTGCTTGGCATAGGAGGCTGGTCCCATCACCTGCTTCCTACTGAGGATAGGCAATGAATTTGTACAGCAAGAATCTGATCCAGTCTGGAACAGCAGGCCCGGGGGAGGCTGTCTGGCGCTCACCCTAACTCTGCTTCAAAAGGATAGCCGCACCAGCACTCAGGGCCTTGAATTCTGTCACCAGAGCTCACTCTGGAAAGACCAGGAGGAGCAAAGGGGTTAAGGAGGTCCTGACATAGCATGGTGGTGACTGGTGTGAAGCAGGCCAAGTGGAGGAGACCTACAACTACAGAGACAGTCCTAGGCCCATCTGTGACTCCATATCCACGTAATGATAGCCACATAAAACCAAAAAGCAAAATATGACTTCTATAATAATCTTAGAAGAGGAAAATATATCTGGAAAAATGAAAATTCTACTCAGTGTTCTATATTTGTTCCTTGAGAAGAGAACCATGTGAGGAGCCAGGGAGGAGTCCAGGGCCACCCCCACACTTCCCACCAGGCGCAGGGCCTGAACACAGCCATGCACTCAATACACAAGCAAATTCAAAAGGGGCTGGGAAGGCTTCTGCAGCACGCCAGCGCCCTCGTGTGGCTCTGCACCAGGCCCATCTCACAAGTCCTCTCCAAGGACCAGCAGGATTAGGCTGCAAAGCATTCAGAAAAGGTCACCTTTGCCACAGAAATGAGGCAAACACTAGAAAAAGTTTTAAGTAGATAGAAATCATTTCCCTCACCTTGAGCCCTCATATCGCCCGTTCCTCTCATACTCAGTTGGAAGCCTCAACGAACACAGTGTGGAAGCAAAGAGAAGTGGGGAAGAGAAGAGAGAACTTACATAGCAGCACAACACTGTCCTGAACACACACATCATGCAGCGAACACATCTGAGTACTTTCTAGTCACCAGTGAGCCTGCGGCAGTGCTGTGTGCTTCTCTGGGAGGACACGGGCATGCACAGGGCTGGGCATCATGCCACATTGTCCTCCCACCTCTTCACCTGGGCACCTCCATGCCTTGGACCAGAGTGGCTCTGGCTTTTGTACCTCACCCACAGAAGAATGGGTTTCCAATTGAAAGGAAATAAGGCTATCAGTTGAACTCTGCATTCAATTATAACATTTTCTGTCCAAGGGAAAATTTGACAATGAGGAAGATCAACTGAAAAATAGTCAAGGAGTGGAATTCCCAGCAGGAAGAAAGCACTTTTCCCACAGTTAAAAGAGCCTTCCAGTGACCAATCAGTTTTGTAAACACAAAAACTGGCAGCCTGGCCTTCCTGCTCCGAATAAGCATAGGCACACTGTGGTCCTTAAAGGCAGACTTCCTGCCTCATAAGTGTGGATTCCAAAGGCAGCAGTATTTTTGGCCTCTTGATTGTCAACACCAAAAACATTAATGAAATCAGAATGCCTCTTATTGCAGTGCTCTAGGGAAAACAGTGAGAGGTGCTTCTTCAGTGCTAGTAGGAAGTGGCTTTAGATAGAACACTGTTTACTCTTCAATTCTCCAAAAATATTAAAACACTTCTGTTCTGCAGCTGCTCACATCTTAATATCTGAAAAAGTCAAACGTAATGAGGCTGTAGGTTTGGATTATACGCTTATCTCCTATATTAGAGTATTAGCCAATTTCTGTCATTTTTAAAGCCTTTCGCCAATCCAATCCTCAGTAAAATAAAAATGATGACTAACTCAATTACCACTTACCTTTTGCATGCTTGTGGCTAATCATTAATTGTACATTCATGTTACTGAACATCCCGTTCTTCAAACAGGAGCATGCTAAGTGATATTAGTATTAAGACAGAATTATTTGGATGCTAAATAATTCTACCAAAGACAGGAAACGCAGAGCATGCACAGGCCTTTCGCTGCAGGGGTGCCACAATTCTTTCAAAATGTCTGACAGAGTTAATCTATTTCTTTCCAGTTTCCCCTTGAGGAAATAAGTATTTAGTTCTCAGCAGAAAGTTTAGTTTTTAAGGAAAAAACAGGGCCAGAAAGCCAAACCTGATGTTAATTGCAGGAGCCATTTGGTGGGATGAGGATTGAAAAATAAGTGTGCATATATAAATCCTACCTTTTGATAAACCTGAATGACATGTTTCTAAAAGAAATTAAGCCAAAAAAAAATTAATAGAAAGGACTCGCACAATTTATATAGAAAATCTAATCAATTGTAGAGAAAAAAGAAAACAAAAACCAAAAACCCTAAACATATAGGGCTCCTCTTCCAGCCAATAATCAATGAGACAATGACATTCATTGAAAAAGTAAAAAGTATTACAGGTAATTAAAGGAGTATGTTATCTTTTAATTAGAAATATATTTAAAAAAAAAACTACTTGTAAGAAGAAGTTTAGAAGTAAATATTGACATTGGCTGTAATTAAATTTACTTAAAGTTGTTCAGATGGATAAACTTTTAAGAAAGAATTCAATGTCTTAGGTTCAAGAAATGATATGTCACAAATGATACTCGTAATAACATTTCTAAATTTTCTTCAGAACGTTATGAACAAAAATCTTGCTTTCTCATAGACACAAAAATCTCTCTACAAAAGATTTAACTATCAAGAGCATCATTAATTATTTCAGGTAGATGACTTAACAGAAAGTTTGTTACAGTGGTATGATATAAATTGCTTTTTAGGCTACTGAGAGATTTAGATCTCAAAATGAAAATAAACTACCAAGATAAAACAGTATGGATTTATCTAATAAACTGGAAGAACTGTATTTAAAAGGGGTCACACTAAGGTCACTGAAAGAAATTTAAGGAGATAAACTGGAAGAACTGTATTTAAAAGGGGTCACACTAAGGTCACTGAAAGAAATTTAAGGAGATACTCAGGTTATGCTGAATAGATTCTGACAATACATTTTTCAAGCTATGGATCAGGTTCTCCTAGTCACATGATCAGCTGCCCTAGGCTCAGCTCAGATCCAACAGGACAGAGGGGCACTCAGATGTATCTGCTAGAGACTGAAGTAATGAAATCCCTGGATTTTTTTTTTTTTTTTTTTGGTACCAGGGATTGAATTGACCACTGAGCCACATCCCTGGTCCTATTTTGTATTTTATTTAGAGACAGGGTCTCGCTAAGTGCCCCACTTTTGCTGAGGCTGGCTTTTTTTTTTTTTTTTTAGAGAGAGAAAATTTTTTAATATTTATTTTTTAATTTTTGGCAGACACAACATCTTTGTTTGTATGTGGTGCTGAGGTGAGGCTGGCTTTGAACTTGTGATCCTCTTGCCTCAGCCTCCCGAGCCACCATGCCCAGCAAATCCTTTGATTTTTTTTTCCCTTCTAATTTGGATTTAATGCTGGCATTGCTTCAGAGATTAACTGACAAAAATTGAACAATGTTTAACTACTATAGACAACTGCAAACCACCATCAAATGTGGCACACTGTAGGCTGTCTACTTTAAAGAAACACATGTGAAATATTTTAAAAATAACACTACGTAACTATTAAGGTGGCATTACCTGAAAGATTATTTTAGTTGAAAAAAATTGAAGATTAAAAAGAGCTTTTAAAATACATTTTCATATCTAAGTCTTCTGTCTGGGAAGTCAGAATTATTTTTCTGACGCGCGAGAAAGGCGGAAGGTGCTGGCAGAGGGGAGCCTTGTACCCTGAGGGGGAACAATTGTGGTCTGGACCACTGTAAAGGGTCCCCAGCTCTCCAAAGTCATGCACTGTTCACACCCGACCAGTGTGTTAAAGTGCCAGGGTCCACTGTTTTAGCTCTCCAGGCACTGCAACTTGAATCCTAGCAATTTTTGCCAAGGGGAGAAGCAGCTTCAACTGCAGCGGCAAGGATTTTGACTATTTTTAAGAACAAGCTGTCTGTAACCGAAGTATAGTACTAAAGAAGATGATAGCCCTCAATTTGTGAACTTTCACACATTAGGATAAAGAACTTTCTGCAAAAATTTTGGGGTGAAAATAGCCTGGAAATTCTAAAATAAGAAGACTACTTGGTTTGTCTTTTTTTTTTTTTTTTTTTTTTTTAAATAAGAAACTGATCTTTAATTTCAATTCAAATACTGTATCATATGAAATAAATGTAATTAGGGGACTGAGGTTGTGGCTCAGTGGCAGAGCGCTGTATGTGTGAGGCCCTGGGTTCGATCCTCAGCACCAAATAAAAATAAATGGTATTGTGTCCAACTACCAACTTAAAAAAAAAAAAAAGAAAAAGAAAAAGAAATAAATGTAATTAGAAAATAAGCAAGCACCAAGAATTCACGCCCCCAGTGGCCTTTTACTGAATTCTCCCAGGGGAGTGCAGGGCAGGGCAGCAAGCTCTGCTCCAGAGCCAGACAGAACTGGTTCAGCTGTGTTTTTGCTATAGGATATGTGCTCCGCCTTAACCTTCCGAAACTTGGCTTCAATTTCTTCTACAAAATTGGGAATATCACCGGGTGCGCTGGCGCACACCTGTAATCCCAGCGACTTGGAAGACTGAGGCAGAATTGTGAGTTCAAAGCCAGCCTCAGCAATGGTGAGCACTAAGCAACTCAGTGAGACCCTGTCTCCAAATAAAATACAAAACAGGGGTGGGGATGTGACTCAGTGGCCAAGTGCCCCTGAGTTCAATCCCCGGTACCAAAAAAAAAAAAAAAAAAAAAAATCTACCCCAAAGGGTGGAATGTGAATAGAAAATATGAGAGGGTGGGGACTATATTACACAAACAGATATACTCTTTGTATACTTAGAAATGTGTGTATATATTATTTTATAGAGAAAATACTCATACATAAAAAATCTGTGCACACTACACACACATCTCTGGATAAAATGAGTATATTTACATACCCATCTGAGCTCACAGTAGGCATTCAAATAATAGTAGTGCATTAACCAATGATAGTCTTAAGGTAACCACAAAATAAATTTAAGGGTTCTAATAGTGTGCAAGATCTTATTTAAAAAGCCCATTACACTCAGGCACAATGGTGCACGCCTGGGCTAGGGATATAGCTCAGTTCGTAGAGTGCTTGCCATATATGGACAATCTCCAGCACCATACACACAGACAAAAGGTGCACGCCTGTAATTCCAGCAGCTTGGGAGGCTGTGACAGGAGGACACAAGTATGAGGCCAGCCTCAGCAATTTAGCAAGACTGTGCCTCAAAGTAAAAATCAAAAAGGACTGGAGATGTAGCTCAATGGTAAACTGTTGTGAGTTAAATCCACAGTATCAATCAATATAAAAAGCCCATTATGAAAACCAGGCGTGGTAGCGCACATCTGGATTCTCAGTGCAGGCTGTCTACTTTAAAGAAAGTAGAAAGTGACTCTGGAAGCCGAGGCAGGAGAATCACAAGTTTGAGATCAACCTGGTCTCAAAAATAAAAAGGGCATAAAGCGGGCTGGGGATGTGGCTCAAGCTTTAGCACGCTCGCCTGCCATGCGTGTGGCCCGGATTCGATCCTCAGCACCACATACAAAGATGTTGTGTCCGCCGAAAACTAAAAAAAAAAAATATTAAAAATTCTTTCTCTCTCTCTCTCTTAAAAAAGAAAGTCATTTAAAAAAAAAAAAGTCTATTACAGAACAAAGTGTGTGGGCACCTTTTCTGAATTTTGACAGACCTTACTGCTATATATTCCTTTGGCCCAGAGGGGACAACACCTGCTCATATTATGCAGGGACGGGGAGGTAAACTGCCAGAAAATTACAGTATCTCCTCCATCTTGTGTCACTCAAGCTTTAGAGGCAGATTGCATTTCAGCCTAGTCCTGAGGAAGGAGCTGGGGGACACACAGGTCTGGGACAGGCTGATCCTTTCAGGGTGACCCCAGAAGAAAGAAAGAAGCTATCCTGGAGCCTCCTGACTGTGCTTGGACTGAACTCCCTAGTTGGTCACTGAAGTGTACCCTTTCAACCATTCTCTTCTGCCTACTATGGAACAGGGTGTCTTAGTAAAGGGGCTGTGAGAAGAGTGAGTGGGTCAACTAAAGCCTCCAGTTCATCTGACTTGTAGTTAGAGCCAGCAGTCTTGGAAGTCCTCCCTCATCAAGTGACTGAAGTCCTGACAACAGACAGACTTGACTGTTGAGCACAATTCACTTAAGTTCTAGGTGACTGATCTCAGATGAAATAAAATGACTGGAGGGATTAAGGAGAATGAAAAGTGACATCTGGCTCAAGTGTAAACAATGGAGATGGTATGAAACTGTGCAGGGAGCTAAGGGACCAGAGGAGGAAGGGCTCTGACCACTTAGGCCCCTAAGAAGATCCTGTTGTTGCTCCCTAGGACACAGGTGGTAAGCAAGAGTGTTTACACGGGAACACTTGCAAGAGACCCTGGTCACACTGATCACAGAGAGGCTGACTTGAAAGAATTTCCTCAGGGGACTTCAACTTGGGTTTCAGGGCACACTGCTGCCTAACGGTGCATTTCACTGCCTGCTTGTGGTGCAAGCAGCAGCCTTTCTTTTTCTCTTGTATCAGCCAATGTCACTATGTATTCTGCATATTCTACGCTAGATTAGAAGTAAAACCACCTCTAGAGACCTTAGTTTCCCAAGCTCAAGGCCTACTGAACACATAAGCATTGAATACGCAATCAGATATTATTGAGAATAAGCTGGGGTTTTATCTAGAAAACTACCCCAAGATAAGAAAGTTATCTTGGGCTGGGGATGTGGCTCAAGCAGTAGCATGCTTGCCTGGCATGCGCGCGGTGCTGGGTTCGATCCTCAGCACCACATACAAATAAAATAAAGATGTTGTGTTCCCTGAAAACTAAACAATAAATATTAAAAAATTCTCTCTCTCTCTCTCAAAAAAAAAAAAAAAAAAAAAGTAAGTTATCTTGCTTTCAATGTTAACTTCCTGAGAACAAGAGAGAGAACAATTTCCTGATTTAGCCTCTGAGAAACTTAGTGCTCATTACTCAATGATGATGAAGTCAGAGAAGATAAAATGTCTCGCTTCTCTGTGTCTTGGAATGACCACAATGGATCTGTCTTCTGTCCTGGTGACTGCTACAGAGTGCCAACCGCTTGCCCACCTGCCCTGAATGTGCCACATGGACAGATAAGTAATCAGAAGGAATAATAATTAAAGAACAATAACAAAAACCTTCCAAGTGCCAGGCAACTTGTAGGGCTATGAAAACCTAAAATCTTGGAGCTCTATACTTTCTCTTTTAAAGGTTTTAAAGGACAAAGTTCAGACATATACAAAACAAAACCACCAGCACCAGCTCGCCACATAGAAAACACATTCCTCTTTTGCTCTGTTTGCTTGAACACCCCCAGCACCACCTGGCACTTACCTTCTTGTGAGTTTTGAAGTTAATTTACTAAAAAGATTAGTGGAGCCTCTGCTTCGAGTCTGAGACAGTGGTGTGGCTTCGTGGGACAGGCTGGGTGAGGCAGGAGGGCCGTTGTATGTTGCAGTTCGCCGTTCCCGGGGCTGGCCATGGAAAGTGCTACGAATGGCAGTGCCTCTTGGGAAGCGGATTCGGTCCGGGGTGGTGGCACTGCTAATACTGTGGGTTGAAGCAACCGGAGTTCTCTGATCAGGAATGGTGCTAGGAGACCAGAAAAGAAGAGACTCTGACATCTTTGTTCACAAAATCATGGCACATGAAAATTTATAATCACTATGCGGAGAAAGTCAGGTATAGAGAAATTGGTGGAGAAAATCAGGTATAATGTATCCAGATCCAAGGGGAATTTTATAGAACTTAGAAGCAAAAGGTAAGTTCAGTGGGAAAGGGTACCAAAGGAACAGGACAGAACGAGACAAGGCCTCAAAGAGATTAAGGGAAAAGTTTGAACACATTTTCAAGGACAAAATTAAAGCAGGGAATTCCAGGACAGAGAACGGCTAACTCACACTCTTCTCCCCCTTCACTTCCCTCTCAAATTGCTCACACACAGAGAACCGTGCCAAAATGAAAGGAAGGACTGCAGGTCCTGAAGAACTGTAGAACAGGCAACTAAAAAGTTTGGAAGCACACAAATAGCATAAAGTTCCACATGCTGAAAGCAACTTGGGGAGGAGAGGGAATGTCTCACACCCTCTGTAATACGCAGACACACACAGATGACCAAGGACACCATGAGCAGGATGCGCTTAACTAAAACCAGACAGAGGAGGACATCTTGTGGGCAACTGCAACAAAATCTTAACTATAGAATCCACGGCACAGAATTAAGCAGCAGCGGGTGACACTGGTTTCACGAGGAATGTGAGTTTTCTTACGTAGCCTTGAAGTTATCTCCTTCACTGTCTATTGGAGGTAACATCATCTTGGGGTGCCCAGAGGCTGACATGGACATCGACTTCTGATGTCTCAGCCGACAGGTAGAAGATGTGGCACAGACTGAGGCAGGGCTAGCTGCATAAGCGAACACTTCCGTCAGGCTGGGGGGTGGGTCAGGCAGAGGCAGAAACAACAGCGTGCTGAAGCAGTGGCCACGGAGCAGCCTGCTAAGCACACGCCGCCCTCCCCAGGCCCCTTCCAGACACGTTCTGGAGATTCTGGGGAGATTGCTGACCTGTTAGCTGCTTTTTTTCAAACAATAATTTTAAAAGTTTATTACCTCAGAGAAAATAAGAGTTCTGGATATTCATGTGAGAGGACTGGTGTCTTTTGAGATTTGCATAAAATAATGTCTACTCTAAAAGAGATGTTTCAATACAAATTCAGATGGTAAAGTGAATAAGTGATAAGAATACCATGCTCTCAAACTAGTCCCCAAATGTAATGACTATCTTTTTAAAAAAATATTTTTAGTAAAAAAAAAAATTATATATATTAGTGGTAGATGGACATAATACCTTTATTTTTATTTGTATGTGGTGTCGAGGATTGAACCTAGTGCCTCCCAAGTGCAAGCATTCTACCACTGAGCTACAACCCCAGCCCACTGTAATGACCATTTATTTACTGCAGTCCTAGGGATTGAAACCAGAAGTGCTCTACCACTGAGATATACCCCAGCCCTTTTTGAGACAGAATCTCAGTGAAAGACCTGGCTGGTCCTGAACTTGCAATCCTCCTGCCTTGACCACCCAAGTCACTGGGATTATAGGTGTGTGCCACCATGTCCAGTTACAATGATATTTTTTGGTACTGGGGATTGAACACAGGGGTGACTGACCACTGAGTCATACCCCCCAGTCCTTTTTTATAAAATTTTGTTTAGAGACAGGGTCTCGTTGAGTTGCTTAGGGCCTTGCTAAGTTGCTGAGGCTGGCTTTGAACTCACAATCCTCCTGTCTCAGCCTCCCAGGCCACTGGGATCATAGGCATGAGCCACTGTGCCCACCTACAATGACATATTTTCAATGGACGAATGAAGTCATGGGTATAGGGAGCAGCTGTTATATATCAAAATATTCTATTGCATTATGAACAATAGCTTAGACCCTCCTTTATAAGGAATAGTTGAAAAAATGAAGGAACTGTGATTGGGCAAAGGGGAGGGAAGGAAAGGGTGGGGGTATGGAGGCAGGAAAGATGGTGGAATGAGATGGACTTCATTACTCTAGGTACATGTGTAAATGCACATATGGTGTGACACTATATCATGTACAACCAGAGAAACGAAAAGTTGTGTTGCAATTGTGTACAATGAATCAAAATGCTTTCTGCTATTATGCCTAATTAGAATGAATGAATGAATAAATAAATAAATAACTGACATTTCTAATAAGTCAACAGTCCAGGGGCACTTAGCCACTAAGCCACATCCCTGTCCCCTTTTTATTTTTGAGACAAGGTCTCGCTAAGTTGCCTAGGGCTTGCTAAAATGCTGAGCCTGGTCTTAAACTTGCATCCTCCTGTCTCAGCCTTCCAAAGCACTGGGATTATATGTGTATGCCACCATGCCAGCCAGAGCCTCATTTTTCAAGATGGTTTTTACCATCTTGATCAGAGCAAATTAACCATTTGCAGGAAGAGTGAAAGAGTGGCTGGTAGCCAGCAGTTTCTACTGGCATAGATAGCTCTAGACATAACTACCCATGGGAGCAACACAAGGATCACACAATTCCTCAATTTCAGCTCTGCCCCCATGTCCTAGGGTTCCAAAGGGACACAGTTTCTTTCCTTAAGAATGGCAGGACTGGGATTCTGACACTATTCTCAGTGTCTTCCTCCTGGCACCCTTCCCATGTCTTGAGCACTAGCACCTGATGGTGCTCCCTTCTGCCCCCATATCCTAGCCACTGTGGTATCTTGCTGGTGTTGACATGGAGGATTCAGGGGGTTCTCCTCTCCACATCTACTTCTGTGGTTAGTGTGGGGCTGCCCCCTCCCACCACCGCCCCCCCCCCCCAGTCTCCATGCCTTTGTCCCCAAATCTCCAGTTTAGCTACCAGAGCTGAGACCTTCCTAAAACATAAACCCAACCTTGCAGTTTATCTGCTCATGACCTTTCTCAGGGGTCTTCAGGAAGTTCAGATCCTCACTTGGCAGAGCTGTCATGGCCCTGTCAGGCACTGCTCTAGCCCCTGCCATCTCTCCAAGTTCCACTTTCTGGAACTGGACTTCCAGGTCATCAGAACTTTCATTCTCTGTCTGGTGAGCTGCCATCTTTCTATTCCTGCTTCAAAGTTCAGCCAGAGGCGGTCTCCTCTGTGAAGATAAACCTGACACTTCCCACATGAGCTGAACTATTTCTTCTTCATCTTTAGCTCAGGCTTGCACCTGTACTGTGGTGATTCCTTTCCTGGAAGAAGCGCCTGCAGGTGCATTTCATCACTGTCTCGAGTGCACCAGAAAGCCCTAACTGCAGCAAATCTCCCCCTAACAGGTTGGCCCATTAGCCACTGGAATTGTGATGGTCCCAACAGGAGGGAGACAGAGGTCTTTGAGATGAATGGCTCAGAAGAGCTGCTTGTCTCTGTGTTTTGCTTGAGAATTTTTCTCTGTGCCTTGGGAGAGAGGCTCAGGTAGCTAAGAAAGAACTGAAAACAAATGCATTATAAACAGAAGAACCTATTCTGTTTTGCTTTTTTCCATTCAACATCTCTTCTCCTCCTGTGGTGCCAGTACTTACAGTTTGTTCTGGGGGAAGCAACTCTAGGTGCCTGGGTTGCAGGTGATACTGATCCCACCCAGACCTCCCAGGTACCTTGGCCCTTGAGGCAGACCTACACAGCTGAAGGAGACAAACTCAGGGCTCCTGTCTGAGTAGAGCTGTGTGGGGGCGATGTCAGGTCTGCAGCAAGCCCCATCATGGAACTGCTACAGGAGGCACAACTAGGAGCTGGACGTGACTAGCTAAGAACATTTTTTTGATTGTTTTTTGGGGTACATTATAATTATATATGTAATAGTGGGATTCACTGTGACATATTCATACATGTACAACAATAATTTAAATAATTTCATTCATTCCCCCACTTCCCCCAATTCCCTTGGTCTCCCTTCTAATTTCATAAGAACCCCTCTTTTCTTTTTTTTTTCTCTTTAGCTTCCACATATGAGAGAAAACAAAATCTTTCATTTCCGAGTCTGGCTCATTAACATAATGCTTGGATGTTCCAATCATTTTCCTAAACTTTTTTTTTTTTTTTGTACCAGGGATTGAACCCAGAGGTGTTTAACCACTGAGCCACATCCCCAGCCCTGTTTATATTTTATTTTGCTTAGGTGCTCGCTAAATTGCTGAGGCTGGCTTTTAACTTGTGATCCTCCTGCCTTAGCCTTTTGAACTGCTGGGATCATAGGCGTGCAGCACCCAAAACTTAATTTTTTTTTAATTTTAAATATTTTTAATTGTAGATGGACATAATACCTTAGTTTTATTTATTTACTTTTACGTGGTGCTAAGGATAGAACCTAGTGCCTCACACATGCTAGGCAAGTGCTCCACCACTGACTTACTACCCCAGTTCTACCCAGAACTTTTAAAGATACATGAACCACTATATGAACTTTTTTGTCTTTATTAACCCAGTTTGGACTGTCACACACAAAAGAGCCTCTAAACTTGGTTTAAGTATTTGACAAAATGATTGGCTGTTACCTATACATGATTTATAGGCATACACACTCTCTCTCTTATTATTTTTCTAAGAAGTCACAGATGAGCATCATTGTCTCTTGTTCTCTGATCTGTTCCAAGCAGGTCAGTGGTCAGTCGATACATTTGGGTGCCCTAGCCAGCTGCTAACATTTTTTGCCAAACTGGGAACTAGGATCAATGACTGCACTGAGGAAAGCAGGAAAGGAGAGGCAGGACTTGTCTGCCATTTCCCCTGGAGAACATAAACAGCTCAAAGTTTCTGGAAAAGGGTAGGCCTTTCAGGCAGTGTCTGGCCCAGGAAGCATACTACAGATGCCTGGCTGAGGTGAAGGCAAAACCTAGAGGGCACGTAAGACAGCGAGAGTAGATGCACAGGTGCCTTGCAGCGGAGACCTGATCCTCCCTGAAGGGAGAGGACTTTCTAAAATGGAAGTGTAACTTATACTTTAATTTTGAATTATTATTATTTGTGGTTACTGGGGATTGAACTCACAGCTGCTCTACCGCTGAGCCACATCCCTGGCCCTTTTTATTTTGAATCAGGGTCTTGCTAAATTGCCCAGGCTGGTCTCTGACTTGTGATCCTCCTACTTCAATCTCTGAGTAGCTAGGATCACAGGTGTGTGCTACTATACCCAGCTCCAATAATATTTTTATTTAGAAATTTAATTCATGTTACACCATGAATTCCACAAAGCAAGCAATGAAACAGGATATGTATTGCTGACTTCTGTAGCAGGCTTAGCATTCTGCTTTGGAAACGGTAAATTTTTGCTGCATTTCAAGCTCATACAACCAAACTCACAAAACACTATCTTCAATGTATAGACCCTATACAATAATGGGCTAATATATATTCTACAAGCTCATTGAGTTGGTTGTTGTGAGAGTTTAAACAATATTTCCCCTAAGAAGAGTATTGAAAATGATGTTACGTTTCATAGTTTAGCCCATAATAATCCTCAACTGCAAAATAGTATATTGCATTTGCTTTAATAGATAATGGGTCCAAAGAGGAATTGTATTTTAAGTTGCATGAAGCCAAGTTTCTATGAGCCTTCCCAACTGTTTTGTATTTGTGACTGATAATTTCTTCTTTCTGAAACTCTAATCGACTTACAGCTGCTAAGGGACAGGCACTTTGAATTGTTTGCTATTCAGACTCCTCTCCCACATCAGAACATTTTGATGTGACATGTGCTCACTAAAAGCATACTCAGGTCAGGCAAAAGCAGAATTAAAACTATTCCTGTATAAAAGGCACATGTGTTCACTGTCATTAGTCCTTTTCCCTGTGGCCCGATGCTAACCAAGCAGATAAAATAGTAAAATCACTTTACAATGAAAAATTTTAACCAATGATACCTAGTTCCCAAACTTCTTTTAGGACTCTGTTGTGTTTTACCTTAAGGGTACAATATTACTTCCTTAAATGACCACAATCTTTTACAGTCTTATGTAGCACGGGGGCTGATGAGCAGAGTGCCAGGGTAGGTTGCTCAGCAGCATGATTAACTTGCAAGGTTAGGCACAGTCTATGGAAACCAGGAAAAGTCTTCACATTCTTTCTGAGCAATTTATGATTCATAACAAGAGCTAAGATTTATTGAGCACCATGTGTTAGTGTTAGTGTTTTGCTTCGTGGTCAGAAGCAACACAGCAGAAAGCAGGCTGGCCATCAGCATGCCTGGCTCCAACATGAGTCCCACACAGAAAACCACGCACAGGAGCTTGTGCCAAAGCAAGAACCTGCCAAGACCTGTGCTTCCCGCAGACACCAATGACAAGCTCCATCTCTCACACAGGAAAGCTGACAATCAAAGAAAGATTGCACTAGAATCAGTACATAAAGCTGATTTTAAGAAGAAAAGAAAACAAACAAACAAACTATATATATATATAAAAACCCACTTATGCTGTCTTGTGGCAAAAGGAAAAATAATCTGTATTTGGTGAGCCTTTGAAACAACATCCTATTTTCAGAGTAGAATTTTGAAGGTGGTTAGGGCTTGTTAAGACAGGCATAGGCCTTGGTTTTGTCAGCCCCAATCATTTATGTTGGAATTCTGTATGAACAGCTGCATACAGAATAGAGTCCAACATATTTAAGGTTGAAAGTGGAACAATGTGCTTGTTCCAGAAGTTAACAGGCCCAGGCATCCTGCAGCTCACTTGCATTTTCAAGTAGTGAAGTCATAAGATGTGAGGTGGGAGAGGACAGGACAAAGCAGAGAGCTTTGAGTCAATGATGCAGAGGGAAGCCTCAACCATCAATGTTAAGGGAGAGAAAATTGTCACATTCATGTCTTCACAAAGTGAAAAACATGACCACTAGTTAGCCTTCAAACTCAATACTTGTATAGTTTTTCAATTACTCTATAAAATAGAATAAAATGCAGATATTTTGAAAACTACAAGCCCTGTTTTGTAGGGTGTGGTGCTGAAGTTCTGTTTGGCTGAAGACAACATCTTCCAAAGCAAAGTATTTCAATGACTGATGCTGAGAGAAGCAAGAAGGCCCAGGTGACAGTCAACTTCATCTGGCCCAGGTGATAGATACAGGGCAGTCAACCTAATAAGGAAGGTGTCTGTAGGGGATGCAGAAAGGAAATGACTCAAAGGAATTAAAGAAGTCTTTAAAGTACTTCCATGAATAAATGGAGTAATTTTAAAAAAGGTGAACTGGAGAAGGGCACGTGTGCACTTGGCCTGAGTGTGCAATGTGCACACAGTCACAAGGGTGGAAGCAATGAAAGACTTGCTCTAAACACTCTCCCGCAGCCCCCTTTTTGGTAGTAGGGATTGAACCCAGGACTGCTTAACCACTATGCCACATTCCCAGCCCTTTTCTAAATTTTTTAAAATTTTGATACAGGGTCTCATTAAGTCACCTAGGGCTTTGCTAAGTTGCTGAGGCTGAGGCTGACTTAAATTTGCCTACCTCAGCTTCTGGAATCACTAGGATTATAGATGTATGCCACCATGCCTGACTCTTTAATTTTTTTTTTTTTTTAAAGAGAGGGAGAGGGGGGGAGAGAGAGAGAGATAGATAGAGAGAATAATTTTTAATATTTATTTTTCAGTTTTCAGTGGACACAACATCTTTATTTTATGTGGTGCTGAGGATCAAACCCAGCGCCCCGTGAATGCCAGGCGAGCTTGTTACTGCTTGAGCCACATCCCCAGCCCGAAATAGTTTTTTGTCATAAGGAAAAAGACAATGTTAAGACATACACACAGGAGTCAGAAAATAGGACACCATAATGTAAATATTTCTTAAAATTCATTGACTGATTAATAATCTTACATAAAAAACAGCCTCTTATCAGTTCAAGCCTAAATTACCTATGAAACAGGGACATGATGGACAATTAGGGTTTAAGCAGGGGAGGGTCTTTCTCAGGGGTCACAGAAGTTATGGGTCACATGTCATCTGACTAATAGAAACAGAAACCATCAGTGACATTTTAGAGAGTGTCAGAAGAAAAAAAAAAAATTGATGTTAGATATGACCAGATGATATTCATGTCTCTGGGAGGCCAAGAGACCACAAAAGATGTGAACTTATTTCATGGATCTTCACTCCAGAACTCACTTTTATCTTTTCACTTGGAATTTAGTTGATACACTACTTTTCCAAAACTAAAGAAGGAAAATCCATACCAGTCTGGGAAAACTATTCTATATAGAACATACATTTAATTACACTCTATCAACTCAAGTTTCTTTTTTTTCTCTCTCCCTAAACTAGTCCTACCTCATGGTCTCTGGACCTACTTAATCCTACTTTTCTGTTTACTTATTTTATTTCATAACCCAAGACAGTTGTTTGCAGTTGTCTGATGCTCCTCTTCTGCCTTACTGTCTTTTAAACCATTCAGAATATCAGACTCCCTTTCTTCTGGATGCTCCAATATGTCTGAGGGAGGGACTCTGCTGCTACCATGGCCATTGGTGTCTTTGTGGCACTGGTACCCTTTCTTGAATACTCACTGTCCTACCTCATACTCCCTGCCTCAGGCCCCCAGCCTCCCACTTTCAACCCTGCTTAAGTAACTGACATGTACAAAATCTGACCTCCCTCACCCCATTCACTGTTCTGCAACAAGCCAACAGCCAGCCACGCTCTATCTCATGGGGAGGACTAACCTAGTACTCTTCTCATCAGGCCCTGCCAGCCAGGAGGGTATACTTGGGACAGTAAGAATTTGGAAACCTAGCATCTTGCAATCAAATTTACTTACCTTCCAAGAATACTTACTATTATTTGAATTTTGATTATAAAAACTGAGAAATAAACAACATACTTCCATTTCTCTTAGGAAAAAGAAATTTTTGTGCCAACAGGTCACTGTCATACCTGTTCTCCTTGCCATTCTGGATGACTGAATGCCTGTCCGCTGTGGTTCTCTCACTGCAAACATAAGTATTCCGCCGTGTCATCCCTCCAGATGCTGTGCTACTCTGTAAGAAAAGGGCATTTCTCTGTTAAACTATTAGGTTAAGTACAGACCAATAAGGAAAAAAAGAACTCATCTATGTAAACACAAATACTCAATCTTTAAAAATATGCTAAATTATCAACAGCAATGGCCAAAAGACAAAAAAAAAAAAAAAAGGAGACGCCAACTTGTATAACTCTCATCTGGTAGACCCAGTGAAAAGTAGCTATAACAGAGTGACTTTGAAAAGCTGGTCTATTAATAACAAATAAAATAATCATCCATAGATTACTTAAAATCAGGACAATAGGGTGACCCACTATTTTTTAAAAGCAAATACTTTCAAAATAAAAAATTATTATATAAATATATAAATTATGAAGTAAAAAACTCTTGACATAAAACATCTGCATGATATTGGATTTGATAACAGATTTATAGACAGGACACCAAAAACATGAACAACTTAAAATAAATAAATAAATAAAAATAAGGCAGATTTTAGCAAGTGGATAAAGTTATGGGTGCAGTGGTGCACACCAGTAATTTCAGCAACCCAGGAGGCTGAGGCAGAAGGATCAAAAAAAATTTTTTTTTAATATTTATTTTCTAGTTTTCGATGGACACAACATCTTTGTTTGTATGTGGTGCTGAGGATCGAACCCAGGCCGCACGCTTGCCAGGCAAGTGCCCTACCGCTTGAGCCACATCCCTAGCCCAGAAGGATCAAATTTGAGGCCAGCTTTAGCAATTTTGCAACTCAGTGAGACCATGTCTCAAAAAAAAAAAAAAAAAAGACTGGGGATGTGGCACAGTGCTTAAGTGTCACCAATTTGATGCCAGGTACCAATCTCCACCCCCCAAAAATGGAATTGTGTGTATCAATGAACACTATCAAGAAAATAAAGAGAAACTCCTGGGCTCAAGTGATCTTCCTGCCTCAGCCTTCCAAGCAGTTGGGACTGTACAGGTACACCACCACGCCTGGCTTCAAACAACTTAATTAAAAACGGGCAATATGTTGTGCGGGGCAGATTAAATGAACTCTAGATGAGGCAAAGAGGAAAAGGGGAGGGAGGGAAAGAGAACGGGTATAGGGGTAGGAAAGATGGTGAAATGTGATGGTTATCATTATCCTAAGTATATGTATGAAGACACAAAGGATGTGACTCTACTTTGTGTATAACCAGAGATATGAAAAATTGCGTTCTATATGTGGAATGTGAATTGTAAGGCATCCTGTTGTCATATATAACAAATTAAAATTAAAAGAAAAAATAAATAATGAACAATAAAAAAAATTACAGATTGAAAAAAAAAACAAAAACAACAAAAAACACCCCCAAAACGGGCAACTTGAAGGGCTGGGGGATATGCTCAGTTGGTAGAGTGCTTGCCTTGTATCATGCACAAGACCCTGGGTTTAATCCCTAGCACCACCACCAAAAAAAAAAAAAAACAACTTGAGCTGGATTCACACCTGCAATCACAGTGACTCAGGAGGCTGAGAGGCAGGAGAATCTCAAATTCGAGGTCAGCTTCAGCAAAGTAGTGAGACCCTGTCTTAAAATAAATAAAAAGGGCTGGGGGTGTAGCTTAGCACCAAATCCCGAGTAACAAAAATAAAAATAAAAGTAAAAAGGGCAACTTGAATAGAAATTTCTCCAAAGAAGTTATACAAATGGCCAAAAAGCACAGAAAAAGATGTTTGATTATCATTGGTCATTAAGGAAATATAAATCAAAACCATGAAATACTACTTCATACTCACTAGGATGGTTATAATAAAAATGAAAATAGTGTTGGCAAGGATGTGGAGAAACAGGAACTCTCATATATTGCTGGGAGGAATGTAATATGATGCAGATGTTATGGACAGTTTGGTAGCTCCTCAAAAAGTTAAACAGAATGACATGACCCAGGAATTTTATCCTTTGGTATTATGTCCAAGATAAATGAAAAGCTAAATAATCCACATGGAAATTTGCACACAAATGTTTATAACACTTTATTTGGGGCTGAGGTTGTGGCCTAGTGGTAGACTGCTTGCCTAGCATGCATGAGGCACTGGGTTCCATCCTCAGCACCACATAAAAATAAAATAGAAATGCAGTATCCACCTAAAAAAACTAAAAAATAAATATTAACAAAAGAATGTTTATAACTTTATTGAGCATAATCAAAAGGTGGAAATAACCTAATAAAATAACCTATCGACAGATATTCAAATTGCGGTCTGCATGTACCCAAAGGCATATTAGTTAGCTGTAAAAAGGAATAGAGTACTAATACATGTTACAACTCAGATGAATTCTGAAAACATGCTGAGTTAAAGAAGGCAGACACAAAAGAACACACATTACATGGCTCCACTTATATGAAATGTTCGGAACAGGCAAGCCTGGAGAGAGAAAACAGACTGGTGATTGCCAGGGGAGGAAGAATGGGATGATATTTAATGGGTAGAGGGTACTCTTTGGGATTGTTGAAATCTTAAGAAACTAGAGAGAAATGGTGGTTGCACAACACTGAGCACAGTAAATGCCACCGAGCTGCATACTTTAAAATGGGTAACTATATGTCATGTGAATAGCATATCAATCTAGCTCTTGAAATAAAAACTTTTTAAAAAGGAACTAAAGTCAAAATGATGAATTTTATCATTTTCTCCCATCCTTCCCTCTTCCCTGTCTGTATAGGGGATTGAACACTCAGCGGGTGTTTGTCATTGAGCTACATTCGCAGTTGCTTTTTTTTTAAATCATGAGACAGCGTTTCCCTAAGTGGTTAGGTCCTTGCGAGGTTGCTGAGGCTGGCCCTGAACTTTCAATCCTTCTGCCTCATCCTCCAGAGTCATTGGAATTGCAGGCAGGTGCTGGCTTCCTATAATTTATTATTATTATTATTACTTTTTGAAGCACTGGAGATGGAACCCAGAGGTGTGCACTTTCGGCAAGTGCTTTACCAGTTCTTTTTTATTTTTGAATTAGGGTCTCGACAAGTTGCTGAGTCTGGCTTCAAACTTGGCAATAGTCTGCCCTAGTCCCCTGAGCCACTGGGATTACAGGTGTGCAACATGATGCCCATTCCAATCTATAATCATTTCTTTCTTTCTCTCTCTCTCTCTCTCTTTTATACCTTTAGTTTATTGATTTATATGTAGTTCTGAGGATCGAACCCAGGGCCCCGCACATGCCAGACAAGTGCTCTACCGCTGAGCCACAACCCCCGCCCCCATTTTTTTCTTTTTTAAATATTCTTTTAGTTGGGCTGGGGCTGTAGCTCGGTGGTAGAGCACCACCTTGCATGTGTGAGGCACTGGGTTCGATCCTCAGCACCACATAAAAATAAAGATATTAAAAAAATATATTCTAGGGCTGGGGATGTGGCTTAAGCGGTAGCGTGCTCGCCTGGCATGCGTGCGGCTCGGGTTCGATCCTCAGCACCACATACAAAGATGTTGTGTCCGCCGAAAACTATAAATATTAAAAAATTCTCTCTCTCTAAAAAAAAAAATATTCTTTTAGTTGTAGATGGACATGATATCTTTACTTATTTATTCATTTTTATGTGGTGCTGAGGATCGAACCCAGTGCCTCACATGTTCAAGGCAAGTGCTCTGCCACTGAACCACAACCTCAGTCCTATAATCTTTTTTCTAATCATATAATTTTTGAACAAAGATAAAGCACTAACCCTTAATACAGCATGAGTGGACCATGTGCAGTAAAATACTGAAAACTAATGGGACAAATTATGATAATGTTGTTGCTATCATCTGGATGACTGTTCCCCAAGGTCCAGACGTTAAAAGATGGGGCTCTAGTGTGGCAATATTGGAGGTGGGGCCTGGTGGGAGGTACTTAGGTCATCAGGGTTGTGGCCCTGGACCATCCACTCTCTGTTTCCTGGCTAATGAAGTGGGTGGTGTGTTCCACCACATGTTCCTGCCATGATGTGCTGCCCTCACTGGAGGCCCAAAGCCATAAAGCTGCCCCGTCCTGGACTGGAACTGCTAGAACTGTGAGCCAAAACAAACCCTTTCTTTTTATAAGTTAGTTGCTTCAGGTATTATATTCTAGCAATGCTAACTAATACATGGCTAATTACTCTTCTATTTTTATGTTTCATCAAAACCTCTTTTTCGTTCTTCAAGATGTCAAGTACAGACACAAAGCCAGGATCCGATATCAGTCAGACTTGGTGCTTCAGATAATGCCACAGGTGACTTCTGCCTTTATCTCCTGTCCTTTCCCTCCCTGCCGCTTGGTCCTTACAATACAGACAGGTTTATCAGTACTGCCTTTCCTGCTTTCTATCTCCTCCACTGCCCTGAACCTCAGGAAGGGCAAGCAATGGCCCAGGAACCCTTGGCACAGTCTGGCATGGAGAAGCCCCAGAAACATTTACCATCAATCCTCTCAGGACCCAGTCCTTAGGTTTTAGGCATTGATATTTCAAACATGTCAGGTTGTTATGCTGATATTTCTTTAGAAATATCACAATGCAGCAATGTCAGTCTTCAACTGTGGTGCTTTTGGTCTCCACATAAACGTGAAGTTTCCTTACTCTTCCAGGAACAAGGAAACATTCAGTAGGATATCTTGTACAAGATCTTGGTGTTCATCTGCTGAAATTTGGTCCCAGGCTTTGGGCAATGCTTGGATATTTGCCAAGTCTCCCCACTGGATGGAGGAAAAGAGATACTTTCTCTTCAGATAAGAACTTCAATAATGTCTCTCAATATCTTGCAACCATTCCAACATGTCAGCCACAGAAGGGCTCTCAGCCGAGGGCTGCAGAACAGCATCAAGACCGACCACGTCTGCATGTTGCTCATAGATCCGAAACACTTGCTCCACATGGCCGCTGACCGTGTCGCGCACCTTGAGAAGGGTGGCTAGCCTCTCCCCTAGCTTGTCCAGGACAATGTCCCCAGCCGCCAGCTGCTTGAGCCTCAGCTGCTCCTGTAAGTTGGGGAAGGCCCGGAGCGCCGGCACATCTTGGAACCGCATGCTTTGCGCGGTCTGCAACTGCTCTGCCAGGTTGCTGAGGGAGGCCAGGAGCGGCGAGCAGTCCTGCAGGGTGCTCTCCCACAGGCCCTGCTGCTCCTCCACTGCCGGGAAGCACTTCTTCAGGGCCTCCTGCACAGCAAGTAAAGGCCAGTCTTGAGCCATCTTCTTCCGGAAAGCGCAGCGGCTTGCACTCTCTCTCCATTTTATTTTTGGGTAGCCCAAGGCAACTTCTCTTTTATGAACAAATATAGGTAGCTGATAATGCTCAAGATGTCCTTTCACAACAGTAGCATGCAGAAAGATAAAAGGAATGACAATGGAAAAGGCATGAAAGCAGAGAATGAAGTCCTTCCTTGTCTTTTCTGCTATCAACAAAAGTCGAAGAATGAATTTAAACCAAAGGGCCATGGAATGACAATTCCATTTTATGGCATTCAGAAGGCAAAATACAGCCAGGCATGGTGGTACATGCCTGTAATCCCAGTAACTTGAGTGGCTGAGGCAGGAGGATTGCAAGTTCAAAGCCAGCCTCAGCAACTTAGCAAGGCCTTGTCTCTAAATAAAATATAGAAAATGAATAGGGATGTGGCTCAGTGGTTAAGTGCTCCTGGGTTCAATCCCTGGTTACCCCAAAAAGAATCAAAAACAAAAAAGCAGCAGCAAAATACAAATATTTTTTAACACAGGGTTTACTACGACTAAACACAATGTTGGAGGATGAAGATGAAAACCCTGGAGCTGGGGCTGGGGATGTGGCTCAAGCGGTAGCGCGCTCGCCTGGCATGCGTGTGGCCCAGGTTCGATCCTCAGCACCACATACAAACAAAGATGTTGTGTCTGCCGAAAACTAAAAAATAAATATTAAAAAAAATTCTCTCTCTAAAAAAAAAACAAAACAAAAAACCTGGAGTTCCTTTATGCAACTCTGTCCCATTCAGGATTTGATGAAAAGCTTCCAAGGGAGCAGCAGCCTGCCTGGGGCTCCTCCCTCAGGTTTTTCTGGGGCAGAAGGAGGGCTGCCTCACAGTTACCTTTGTAAATAAGACATGCTTGCCGAATAATCTTAACTTCACTCACTTCTCTGCAAATTATTTCCAAATAATACTTCTAGCAATGCTAAAAACAATTACTGTTAGCTCAAAGAGAAACACTTCAATTCACAGTAAAGTGTTCTGAATCAGAATGGATTCAATTTAATTGAACAAACACTACCTACTCACTGGGGATATTTTTATTAAGGGCAGAGATTAAGGTCAGCAATGTAACTTCAGGCAATTACCAACTGCCTTGCAATTTCTTTACGCTATAGTCTAGCTAAGTCATGGTCCCTGGCATAGGGCACACATGCCCTGCTAGAGCATAGCCTCCAGGTGCCATGCCCACCAGGCTTCTGATCACTGTCACCTGTCTGCACTGCTGTTTTTACTGACTTCCTCCATTAGATTGTGCGGTCACTCGATGTCTTAGTACCAGACACAATCTAAAGCTCAGATCTGTACAGTTAATTGCAAACAGCCTTTACACACAGGACCTGATCACTCACCCAGTGTGTGGGACATGTGCTATGGTTTAAATGTTCGCATCCCTCCAAAATTCATGTTGAAGCGTCATCTCCAATGTAACTACATTAAGTGGGGCTTCAGAAGGTCGTGTTTTATGAATGGGCTTGTCAGCGGCAAATTTGCCCCTTGTGCTGTGTGTGCACAATGTTCTTCTCTGGAGGATATAGCAACAGGGTACCACCTTGGAAGCAAATGCCAATGAACCTGGTAATGCTTTGCTTTGCCCTGGGATTTTCTGGCCTCTAGAACAATAAGAATGAATTTCTGTTCCTTATACTCAGCCAGGTATTGTGTCATAGCAGCAGGAATGAAGTAGAACAGGGGGTATCAACCAGAAAAACCTACAATGTAGCAAGTGGAATTTCTATAGGTGGAGATAGTATGCAGCCTAGTGGATGGATGTTCCAGGCAGAGGAGAGCACAGGAGTGAAACAGGCAGACTCAGAACAGTGGTGTCTATCTGGTTCTAGCCCAACAATCCTAGGGACTACTCCTCAGGCCAGCAATACTTACACTGGGGACAGCAGGGCTTTTCTTGCGTTCAGGAATATCCGCCTTGTTGGGATTACTTGCATTCCCAAGCATGGGACTGGCTGGAGCAATTCCCTTTCCTCCCCCGGCACTGCCACCTGATTTCCGGGAAGGAATTCCATCTTCTTTGAGGTCACTATCTGCAGTGCTGGTCTGACTCCTCTTTGGATATGCCACAACTGAAGGAATAGCTGGTCCAGCTAAAAAAAAAAACAAAAACAACAACAACAAAAAAAAAGTTCATGCTTTAAAAGACAGAAAGTAGCTGATGCAGTGGCACAGGCTTGTAATCCCAGTGACTCAGGAAGCAGGAATTGCAACTTAATGAGTCCAGTCTCAAAATAAAATAACAATAATAATAAAAAGAGCTGGAGCTGTGGTTCAGTGGTAGAATGCCCTTGAGTTTAAAAAAAAAAAAAAAAGGCAGTTTCACATATTATTCTGTGAAAAAATTTGTAAGATAATCTAAGATTCATCCAAAAAGTATAAAACAGTAAAATCCTTAAAATGGTTCCCATTTACATATAATATTGACCCTGCCCTATAAAATGAATCTGATTGCCAGTCATGGTGGCACATGTCTGTAATCTCAGTGACTTGGGAGGCTGAGACAGGAAGATTCCGAGTTAAAACTCAGCCTCAGCAACTCAGGGAGGCCCTGAGCAACTTGGCAAGACCCTGTTGCTAATAAAATATTTTTAAAAAGAGGTGGGGATGTGGCTTAGTGGTAAGCACCCCTGTGTTCAATCCCTAGTACCAAAAAAACAAAAACAAAAACAAAAAAAAACCCACAAACAGAATTTGATTTTAAATTTCGCTTACTAGGGGTTGGGGTTGTGGCTCAGCGGTAGTGCATCTGCCTGTGACAGACACTGGGTTTGATTCTCAGCACTGTGTATAAATAAATAAAGGTCTATCATACAACTAAAACATATATATATTAAAAAAAAGGAAGTACAAAAACCTTTTTAAAATTTGAGATTCTGAATGGAGATAGACAACAATCCACTCTACAGCCTCATTCAAATTTCCTGTTTTATTTGCACTTGTGTGTCTAATACTACACACTTTATCATATGTGTACATTCCTATGAGCACCACCAGTCAATGTACACGACAGTTCTATTTCAAAGACTTTGTGGGGCCACCCTTTCATGGCCTCAGCCACCTTCCACCCCAATTCCTTGTTCTTTAGCTCTGACAACCAATAACCTGTGCTCCATATCTATCATTCTGTCATTTCAAGAATGTTATATGAATATAATCAATAGCATGTGACTTGCGACTGTTCTTCCCACTCAGTATCCATCCACATCACTGTAGGTATCGAGGTTCCTTCCTATTTACTGTGCACCAGTTGGTGGTATGGAGGTAGCACACAGTCACATATATAAGTCTTTTCCTCATGAATTTATTGTTTGGTTATCATATTTAAAAAGACTTTTCCAGTCCAAGTTACAAAACTTTTTTTGACTTTTTTTTGTGGTGTTGGGGATTGAACCCAGGGCTTTATATATGCTAGACAAACACTAACACTGAGCTATACTTATAGCTAAGGGATTTCATTTTTTATATTTTCATATCATGACGCCCAGTTGGAATTTATCCTTAGATGTGAGAAAGGGATCCAATTATTTTTTTCTGATTATTTCCAAATTGCTAATTATCAAATTAATTAAATAAATTTCTTTTAAAACAAGACAAAGAACCCTTTGAAAGTCTGATTGAGATCACCCTTCTCAGGAAGGTGCATATATACACACTGGGGTTTACACCTTGGCCCCACATTAGGAAGCACTGGGGGTCAGAGTGGTCCTTGGTCCTGTGGCTTGTGGTTCAGAGGCAGAAGGACCTCAGTGCTTTTCAGTGGGCCTGCTTCACTGAGAGGCTCACTGGGGCCTGTCCTGCTCAGAGCACTTGAAAGACAGTTCTGGGGGCATTGTCAGAGCTTTCTTTTGCCAATTACTTCATCTCCAAAAAGAGTAAAAAAATTAAAAAATAAATAAAAAATAAAATGCCGGGGACATGATCAGTGATTTTTCTCTATAAATCAATTTCTAGAAATAGTCCTGCATGAACTTCCTTTTAATATTAGAAGGTACAAGAAAGGATTCTGAAATCCTTTGAAAATTATTATAAAAAGACCACTCCAATGAGGTGGTTTAGTGGACAAGCCACAGGACCAGGGACCAAGTGTCTTGGGTTTTGCCCTGGGTATTCTAAACTTGCTCTGTGACCTCAGGAGACTTAGTGACCTTCCTTGACCTACTTCTTTATTGAAAAAATGGGGGACTGGTGAGTATATGGCATCAGGTCCAAAGCTCTTTTTATTTCTAGCATTTTATGAGCAGGGGGAAAGGCATTAATACAGATAGAACCTATGGGCCTAAGGAAGAACAAACTTATTAAGGCAATGCCTGGAGAAATGAGAAAATTGAATTACTAGGTTTCTTTCAGCATTTAGGAACAATTCCGTTTAAATTGAATGATTTTAGGAAAAAAACGTGGGCATCTGCTAGCTTATTTCATCGGCAACTAACAAGAACACACAAGGCGACAGACCTGAATCCCCACTTCATTCATAGATGCTACAAAGCCTGGTGTCAGAATGGGTTCTGAGCTCAGTTCTACCCTGGCAGAGCAAACACTGCAACAGCTTCAGTCCAGCCAGGCATGGGCATGCACTGGCAGGAAGAGCAGTGGAAACCAAAGAAAAGCAGCTCACTTTATTTTATTTTAGGTGTAGATGGACACAATACCTTTTATTTTATTTATTTTTATGTGATGCTGAGGATCGAATCTAGTGCCTCACACATGCTTAAGCAAGCTCTCTGCTGCTGAGCTACAACCCCAGCCAGCATCATTTTTAATGCAAAACCAAAGCATGTCTGGAATGCTTTGTGTAGCTCAGTTTCAAATCTCAAGATCAAAGAATGGAGGTAAAAAATGTCCAGAGAAGGGAAATGAAATGAACAAGGGATTAATGGGGAGTCCCACAGGAGGTCATTCTTTTAAATAGGACCAGGTCAGCCTGGGAAAGATGGAGCACGCCCGTAATCCCAGGGGCTTGGGAGGCTAAGGCAGGAGGATCCCAAGTTCAGAGCCAGCCTCAGCAAAAGCAAGGCACTAAGCAACTCAGTGAGACTCCGTCTCTAAATAAAATACAAAAAAGTGCTGGGCATGTGGTTCATTGGTTGAGAGCCCCTTAATTCAATCCCTGGTACCCAAAAAGAAGAAAGAAAAAAAAATTAGGACTAGGTCAATATAGATTTACTTTCTGAACCCTAGAATACTGGAGTTAAAGGAATACCCACAATTTTTACATTTACAGCCACACATATGCTAGCATCTCAGGAACCCAAAAGAGCTGCCTTAAAGGTAGAATAACCACAGGGGTAGGTCAGCCTACCCATCGGGGCCTTCAGCTTCCAGTGAAGTTTAAGAGTGAGGGTGGCTTAACCAAACCAACAACAAGAGTGAGGATGAGAATGACACCATAACAATTAAAGCCAATTAAGACACAACTGAGGTACCATGGACTCCCTAGGGTTGCTTTAACCAACATGGTGGCTACTGGCCACATGTGGTTCTATGTATTTACTTTAAGTGAGATTTAAAAACACTGTTAAGTCCACTTGATTGGGCTGCACAGATATAGAACATTGTTAGCAACACAGAGAATTCTACCAGAGAATGCTGTCCTACAAAGTAAAACCAAGGCAGGGGTGGAGAAGAGATGGACAGAACTCCAGACTACTAAGTCAGGGGTCTCAGAGGGTGAAAAGCCTTGGGGAGCTTCTGCCCAGCTGAGCCTTACCCAGCCAGAGTCCACCAAATCTGTCAAGGAGATAAGAGCCTTGATTGTGCCAGAACCTGAGAAAAGGCAGGCAGGCAATGCCACAAAGGAACATCACACCAATTTCCACCCTGGCAGACCACAAGCAAAAAAAGGGTGCAGCCAGAACTGCTGAACAGCCTCAGACTTACCATGGTCACTGTACCGTCTCTGCTTCTGGCTGGAAGAAACACTTCTTTGCACTTTGTGGTGAGGAGACTGGCCAGTGCTGTTGCTGAGGTCACTGCTTGGCCGCACCTTAGCAAGTGAAAGGTTGCTGCTAGAACTGGAGTCGCTAGCGTCCAGCTACGGGAGAATGAGAAGAGCGGCAACCATACACGGACCCCAGTGGCTTGTCAGGAAGCTCAACTTCTCATGACCACACAGCTCTCATGAACATTCACTTAGAGAGGGGGCACAGCGATGTACAAGGTGACAACCCTAAACTCAGGCAAAAGCATTTTTCTGACTGCTGGGAAAACTCACAAAAGGTTATATATTAATGATCTTTCTAAGCTTTTTCAAACTAACAATGCTTTGTTTGCTTGATTTGACACATCATTTCTAAACTATTAATTACTATAGGTTAATTTATGAATACTCCTATATATTTTACGGCATTGTTATTTTAAAGTTAAAATAGTAGCTCATAATGGTCACAGGAGTTAAGATTTATTATTTGTAGGTAAATTTTAAAAATATTGCATCAAATGTTTTATATATTAAAAAAATAACCAAAAAAAATAGTTTATATAAACTGATCATTCATATAAAGGATATTTTAGCTCTTCCTCTTTGATTACTCTTACCTCTGAAGATTTTCTCCCCAACAACAAGTATGTAGCTGTGATTTCATCATATTTCATTTTACTGAGAGATTCTTGAATTTCTTCTTGTGAATATCCCATTCCTACCATAATATCTAAAATAAGGGTATAATATGGTTTATGTGTTTTGTTTGCATAAGAAATCATCTGTTACAGAGTAAAATAATTTTCCTTATTTGACCTAAAAAAATCATACACTTCCTAACATAAACAAATGGTTGAATGTGTTTCTGTTTCTGGGTACTGACGCTGGAAACTGCAGGTGGTGATTCATGAATGGGGCAGAACAGAGAAGCCAGACAGTATGTCTTGTACACATTTCTCATTCTTCATACTTGAGATGCGCATATAGGAGTGAAGACAACAAGTCATGTAAATAGACATATACAAACACGTAGGCACAGAGGAATTACCTATTCTCTTCTGGTCTGAGATGTCTAGTTCTGGTTCAACAAAGGGTTTAAGCTCATCTTCCTCATGCCCTGCATTGATCCACCTGTCCTTCATGATTTGCTGTAAAGGTGAACGATTCATTAGCAGCATAAAATAAAATATCCCAATGACCACAATTTAGAAAAATTTATTTTCAACATTTTATTGATTACAGTTCAAAAGGTAACTTAAGCCAGGCATGGTGGCGTGCACCTGTAATCCCAGCTATACAGGTGAAAGGTTGAGGCAGGAGGATGGCAGGATCTAGGCTAGACTAGGCAATTTTGCAAGATCTGCCTCAAAATAAAATAAAAAGGGCTGGGGATGTAGCTCAGTGGCAGACTTCTTATCTAGGATGTGTGAGGCCCTGGGTTTGATCTCAGGTACCACCCTCCCCTCACCAAAAAAATGTAACTTTAAAAAATATATATATTTTTTATTTCATTTCATGCTTAAAAAAAGCCCAGGAGAGATTTTAGTATGTCATACAAACCAAGCAAGTTCTGAAAATACTCATGACTCTCCAAGTCACTTGTATTATTACCTCTAGAGTGCCTCGCTTAATTGGGTTTAGCACCAGGAAGCGTTTGAGAAGGTTTTCACAGTCTGTGGACATGTAGAAAGGGATTCTGTATTTCCCTCGTAACACTCTCTCTCTAAGTTCCTTTGAGGATGTAGAGGAAAGAAAATGAGTCAACTTTAAGGTTAAAAAAAAAAAGGAAAACCCACTAAAGCCCCCATACCAATATAACATAGAAACATCAATTCATACAACTTCATAAAAATTCTCTTAGTTTGGAGAAGAACATGGCTATACCCAATTCTTATACCTTCAGATTTTGCCCGTCAAAGGGAAGTGACCCGCTGACTAGGGTGTACAGAATCACGCCAAGACTCCACACGTCGACTTCCGGCCCGTCATACTTCTTGCCCTGGAAAAGCTCTGGGGCTGCATATGGAGGACTACCACAGAATGTGTCTAGCTTACTGCCAAGAGTGAACTCGTTGCTGAAACCAAAATCTGCTATTTTAATGTTCATATCTGCATCTAACAACAGATTTTCAGCCTAGAGGGAAAACACCAAGATAAACATGAAAGTTAACCAAAAAACAATTACAATTCTGACTCATTATGAGTCAGCATCCTCTCATGAAAACTTTTTGTAATGACATGAGATCAGTATCTCCTAATAATAAAAATGAGAAAACACTGCTTCTAGACAAAAAGCAGGAGACAAATTAGAACTCGTAATTTTATAACATGAATAATCCAAAACATACATCAAATACAGATTAATTACAGCAGTAATTTAAACATTCAATATACCCCCAAGATCAAGAAAAACATAATAACCTTTATGATTAACAATAAGGCTTTTAAAAAATATAGGCTCTTGCTTTAAGCAGACAGCTGTATTTCATAAAAACTGCTAGAGTTGAGAAATGGCTATTATTGGGAAGGGAGAAATCTCACTCAAGAGAAAAACCAGCCCCTTTCATTTACTTCAACCAACTTGTACGAAGCAGTTACCACACAACAGGAGTTAGACTGGTGATGGAAGTGTAAGGATGAGCCAGACAGGGCCCTGCCTCAGTTCAGAAGGGGAGAGAAGAAGGGCTGTAGTTGTAGCTCAGTGGTACAGTGCTTGCCTAGTGTGTGTGAAGCATTGGGTTTGATCCTCAGCACCACATAACAATAAATAAAATAAAGGTACTGTGTCCATCTACAACTAAAAAAAGTGGGAGAGGAGGAAGATAAGCAGCTGCCAGCTGCCGGAGACCCATGCACTGTGGCAGAGGTTCTACACACCAGGGGCTCAGCACTGGTGGGTAGGCAGTTTCCCAGAAGAAGTAAAATCAAGCCTGAGACAAGTGATCGAAGAGGGTGGGTTTGCAGGTAGAACAGTCTGAAACCTATTCTTTCTAGAACCTGAAATCCTATGTGAGATGCACAGGTGGCCAGGCTGAAATGCAAAGGGCTGCCAAGTGACCTGTGCTTGAGAAGTATGGGTTTTCATTCTGAGGGAAAGAGGAAGCTACTGTGGAGTTGTTAAGCAGAGATGTGACAATTTTATTTATGTTTTCTAAAAACTACTCTGGATGCAATGTGGAAATCATACTGGTGAGGAAGGGGCAAAATCAGAAACGGAAGACGTTAGGAAGGAAGAGCTCAGGCTTTGGATATGCTGAGATGCCAAGGGGTGCTCAGGTAAAGAGGCCTTCATGCCACCTGCATCCTGGGAAGAGACCAAAGGTCACTAGTACATAGGCAGCCACCGGAGCTCCTAGAATAAAATCAAATGCACTGAGGGTGGGCAACAATAGGAGCAAATAAGAGGACAGCTTGCATGAGAAGGGCACAGAGAAGAGTGCCAAGTCAAGACTGAGTATCTAGTAAATGACTGGAGAATGTGCTGTGAAGGTGGAAAGAGAGGGGTATTATATCTGGAAGGTACCTAACGGAGAAACTGGGATGAACTGCAATATGGGGTAAACTCCAGCATGTGGAATGCTCTTGGTGAGAAGGTGGAAGAGAAAGAGAGTAAAGGAAGAAACAGAGCGATGAGGCAGCAGACTGCACAGCCCTGCAGGGTACCACATTCCTGTAAAAAGGAGGGAAGTGAAGGCTGTCTGTGGGTGTGTTGGGCAGATGGGCCTGGTAGGAAAGTGTTCTGCCAGCCACACAACCTCTTCCTTCTCTGAGTAAGGGCAGAGGTGCAGGCCCACAGGAGGCCTCTAGCAGGACTGCTGTTGGCAGGGGAGAATGCTCACTTGGGCAGAAAGGGTACAACACAGCACTGGAGATACTGTCCAGGGGCACCTGTGCACTTCTCGGGGTTTTTTCTCTTTGGTTTTGACCCCTGTGCTCCAGAGATCAACTATTAGCTGTCACTAAAACAGGAAATACTTTTAATAAACTTCACTTTTATTTTAATACTCCTTACTATAATTTGATGAATAGGATTCAATTGTCATAGGATTTATTTTTTCCTCTTTAATAACACATCTAATACATGCCTCATTTGTGAAATAGCCACTGAGTGAGCTGAACATCCACTGAGCAAGGGCACTTGGACGTACCTTGAGGTCTCTGTGAACGATCCGCTTTTGGTGGCAATATTGTACTGCAGACACGATCTAGGTGGGTAAGAGGAGAAGATTAGTTACCCCTGGTACAGATGTGTAATTAAGAGGAAAGCTTCGTGGGCTGGGGTTGTAGCGGTAGCGTGCTTGCCTAGCATGTGTGAGGCACTGGGTTCAATTCTCAGCACCACATATAAACAAATAAAGTAAAGGCCCATTGACAACTAATAAATAAATAGCACTGGGGATGTGGCTCAGTGGTTAAGTGTCCCTAGTATCAATCCCTAGTATCAAAAATAAAACAAAAGATGAAAGCTTCATCAATGTTCCCATGTTAAAAAAAAAAAAAATCTAAGCACTTGAATTGTGTGAATTTTTGAAAACAATTTTTAAAAATATCTTTCATCTATAGATGAACTTTTTATTTATATTTATTTTATGTGGTACTGAGGATGGAACCCAGTGCCTTACATGTGCGAGGCAAGTGCTCTGCCACTGAGCCACAACCCCAGGCCCCTGAAAACAATTTCTTATATTTTGAACTTTTCAATTTTGAGACTGTAAGGATAAAAGCAGGAAGATAAATGTAAGGATTTTTTTCCAGTCTTCTCCAGTTTTCACTGAAGTCTTTTCTTGCATTCAATCTGTTAATATTCCACTTATTTTTCAGAGAGGACAGGCCCAGTGCTTCTGGGCACTTATCATGACCTGTGAGCTAACCCACCACCAACCAGCAGTGGCAGACCCTTCATCCGGGTGTCTGCTCAGCACCCCTCTTCCCTGCTTCTGCCCACAACACTCCCTGTTCCTGTCAGCTAACGTTACTTACCTCTCCAGTGTTAGTTTCCTCTTTCTTAAAATGGAAGAATGGATGCTGATCTTATGTGAACTATGAACTATGAAAATTACTACATGCATCAACAAGGGCTCCGCTCACTTTCAGAAACGATGTGTTTTTCTTTAGCCAACTTGCAATTATTACTACAATTAACACTGTTAATTAAACAACTGTTTACTGACATTTCACAATTACTAGTAACTTTAAATAGTCGGAAGCTTTATATGCTCATTAAGGAAATTTTAGAAAATATAAAAAAATACATGTAAGTGTATACCTACACTACCATCAAATATTGAATACCTCCTGCTATTTTGCTGATTTGCTTCTAGTCTTTTTTTTTTTTTTTGGTATTTTGCATATGCATTTAGATGTACATGATTCTGTATATACAAAACTGGGATTACAATGAAAATACTGTTTGTTTTTCCAAATCATCATCATTCCAAAAATATAAACCAAATGGACACACTTATGCTGGACATAAAAGCATAGAGAGGACTGTTGTATATTTTGGTTCAAAATAAGCAGAAAGGAGAAACTGGGTTGGGGTCAGAATGGGATAAATACCAAAATCAGGGCTTCATTAAGAAGCTTTAGTACTTTATTTTTTAAAATTTTTTCTTAATACTTATTTTTTAGTTGTAACTGAACACAATATCTTTATTTTATTTATTTATTTTTATGTGGTGCTGATGATGGAACCCAGGGCTTGGCATGTACTAGGCAAGCCCTCTACCGCTGAGCCACAACCCCAGCCCCATGAATATTTATTTTTAAATAAAGTACTAAAGCTTCTTGGGACTGGGGTTGTGGCTCAGCGGTAGAGGGCTCGCCTAGCACGTGCCAAGCCCTGGGTTTGATCCTCAGCACCACATAAAAATAAATAAATAAAATAAAGGTATTGTGTCAACTACAACTAAAAAATATTTATTAAAAAAAATTTTCAGAATATGAGACCCACTCATAATCAACTAAAGGTACAAACATTCCAATGCCAAAACATGGGTTTCAGAGCATGCATTAGTCTGGTTTAATACTACTGCTATTGAATTCTATCAACATGAAAACAGGGAGATGAAATAGCTTTGCTTTCCCAAACAAAATCTACCTATGACACAGGTAAATCTTACCTTACTGCCTGGTCCCATTCAGCATTTATATTAGTTTTCCCTCTTATTTTTCCCCCCTCATATGGAGATTTCTTTTTGTAGGTTATTTTTAAATTCTGCTTTTGAATCACATTTGATAATTTCCTGTCCATTCTCAGTTCATTTCTCTTTCTTTAGCTCTAAACATCTCAAAGCTAACCTGTTGACACAATCCCTAAAAATATGCAACTTAAACCCACTGTTTTCTTGTGTTCTGTTATTAGCTAGAGGCAGGCTGAGATTCTAGATGTTTTCTAGGTTAAAATAAGAATGTTAGCCTAATTCACTTTTGCTCACTCAAGAAAGGACAGAAACATCAACATTACCAGCCCACCAAGAAATAGATAAGGAAAGAAGATGTAGCCAGGAGTCTATTCCTTGAGAAGAGCAAGAGTGCAACCAAGCAACTGATATGGCAGATGCAGTGAGGAGAACGGAAATGGTGAGCAGCGGGATGAGGGATCCTTTGAGGAGGAAGGTGGAACCAAGGGCCTCTGCATGGCACAAAAAGGATCACACCCAGCACCCTGTGCATGTACCACACCTTACTCTTTGTCATAAGCAGAAAACCTTAGACATTTTTTTTTTTTTAGTCAAAGTTGTGATGATTTGTAGAAGGCACAGCAATTAGAAAGTAAAAACACAGTATTGCGCCTGGTGCTGCCAGGTCTGAAGGAGCTGTCTAAGGCCAGTAGCCACCAGAAGGGAGGACAGTCTTTCTATGTACACAAACCAACTAAAGGCACAAACAAATAAGCCATTTTTACTGGTCCAACTAATAAGAGGTTCCTCAAACAGGCTTCACAATTTCTGCAGGGAATTTCAAATAAAAATCTGAGTAATTTTCGCAACATAAATGTCCAAGTCTCTCTGACAAATCTGAGGGCTGGACGTGGGGTGGTAGAGGTGGGGGGTTATGGTGTAGGTCCTCAACTGCTGCCTGCTCTGGCTACCTGGACATGCCCTTTCCCTATAATCAGACTACCCGTGCAAATCAGATTCTCTTGGATGGAAAGAAATTTAAGTTGAAGGAGGGAAAAACTCTTGGCTTAATTTAGGTGGCCAGTTTCTATTAAGAATACAGTTATGGGGGCTGGGGTTGTGGCTCAGTTGGTAGAGCGCTCGCCTTGCACTGTGTAAGACCCTGGGTTCGATCCTCAGCACCACATACAAAAATAAACAAGTGAAATAAAAGTTTAGTTGTGTCCAACTACAACTAAAAATAAATATGTTTTAAAAAAAAAAGAATACAGTTATGAAAAGGAACAGACTGGTTTTGTTTTCTAATAAAAATTTGAGTTTCCTTTCATACACAACAGAATGAAACAATATTAGAAATAGAAAACCTGCAGAATTCATCAAGTATAATTTTATCTTTTTATGGCTAAAAAAAGGATCAGAGAAGTTAAATGATAACCATAACCACAGTTAGTTGATTTCTTTTTTTTTCTTCTTGGTGGTGACAGAGATAGAACAAGGGGTGCTCTACAAGTGAGTATCCCCAGGCCTTTCTGTTTTTTTATTTTGAGACAGGGTCTTGCTAAGTTGTCCAGGCTGGTCTCTAACTTGTGATCCTCCTGCCTCAGTCTCCTGAGCAGCTGGGATTATAGGTATGCACCACTATGCCCAGCTCAACTTTGATATTTAAAAGATTTTTAATTCAAAGTACTATTAGTAGCACTTTGAATTTAAACTTTTAAATTAAATTTAAGCAACAGCAAAAGTTAAGAAACTTATAGATGAACCCTTAACTATAAACACGAGACTAGCAAATCAAAGGAGACACTGTTAAGAGAAAACTAGAAAACCAGCTAAAATCACCTTTCCAAACATGTGAAACTTTAAATAAAATCTCCTATTCATCCTGACAAACTTATAAGTGAATAAAACAAAAATTTAAAGGTTCTAAGAGAAATGAGGCCATACTGCCTTTTAAATATAGAACTTTAACTGTGAGAGCACTGAGTTAATTAATTGATTTATTTTTGATGCTAGAGATTGAGCCCAGGCCGTGTCCCTGCTATAAGCACATGCTCTACCTCAGAGTTACATCCCCAACCCAGAATTTATTTAAAAGTAATAACGCACCTGTGCCCTTTCTTTTATTTAAGTCTGTTGGCAAATTATGGCCTATGTGCTCAATCGGCCCAGCCCTGGTTTTGCAAATAAACTTTCACTGGAATACAGTCACACTCGTTTGAGCCGTGGCTGCTCCTATGCAACAGAGCAGAGTTCAGTTGCAACAGAAACCACATGGCCCATTGAGACTGAAATATGCATTGTCTGGTCTTTTCACAAAGAGCCTGCTGATCCCTGATCTTCACATTAGGACAATGCACTGATGAACACATTGTGTCACATCATCCCCTTAATGGAACATCTAAAAACTTAAACTATGCAACAAATATACCACTTTTCATAACTTTAAATAAATGCCTATGTTTTTAGAGTTCTATTCTTTTGAGAATATTAACAGGTGAATAATTACTGAAAATATTCATTGATATTAGTAATGATAGTACGTTAGATTATGATTTCCAACCTATTTTAATGCAACTGTGTCAATTTCATTGAAATATTCTCAATATTGAAAACTTAGAATTTAAAGAGTTAAGACTAGTTTTGAAGTGAGAGAGCCTGGGTCTGAATCTATATCAGCTCTGCCACATGACAGACATGAAAATACAGGGTAAACTGTTAAATCTTTACATGTCTTAAGTTTTTTATCTTTAGCAAATGAGTATTATGCTAATCCTTAATCCACAAGGCTGCTGCATGATTTACATTAATTTATACAAGTGTCTGGGAGGTGATGGCCAATTGATAAATGATTATTAATGGAGAGTTATGTCACCTTTATACTTAAAATCAGCTAATTAAAATTAGAGACTCTTTAAAGAGTGGGGTAAAGAAAAAACTAAGTGAATTTTGGGACTGTGATATTCTTCTTGCTAAAAACTGAAATGGGGGGGGCTGGGGATGTGGCTCAAGCGGTAGCGCGCTCGCCTGGCATGTGTGTGGCCCGGGTTCAATCCTCAGGACCACATACAAACAAAGATGTTATGTCCGCCGAAAAAAATAAATATTAAAATTCTCTCTCTAAAAAAATAAATAAATAAACAATAAAAACTGAAATAGGGGGCTGGGGATGTGGCTCAAGCGGTAACGTGCTTGCCTGGCATGCGCAGGGCGCTGGGTTCGATCCTCAGCACCACATACAAATAAAATAAAGATGTTGTGTCCAATGAAAACTGAAGAAAAAAAAAACTGAAATAGTTTGCTTTTTAAAAATTTTTAAAAGGAGCACCCTACTATGCTTGGCTAAAATGGTTTTAATTAATGTAATCACAGGCATCTTCGAAAGATTCTAGATTTTGTTTTTGTTTTTTGTGGTACTAGGGATTTAACCCTGTGTGTGTGTGTGTGTGTGTGTGTATTTACAAATTTATTATTTTAAAAATCTAATTTATAATATTCACTTATTTATTTTAAAATTAACCCAGGGGTGCTTAACTACTGAGCCATAACTCCACAGCCTTTTAAAATATTTTACTTAGAGACAGGGTCTCGATGAGTTGATTAAGGCCTCACTAGTTGCTGAGGCTGAACTTGAACTCACACTCCTTCACAGCCTCACAAGATGCTGGGATTACACAGGTGTGTAAGCACAGTGCCTGGCTTTATTTTTTATTTTATTTTATGTTTTTTATGGTGCTGGGGATTGAACCTGGGGCCTTGTGGATGCAAAGCAAACACTCTATCAATTGAGCTATATCTCCAGCTCTTATTTTTTATTTTTGAGACAGGGTCTCGCCAAGTTATCGAGGCTGGTCTTGACTTGCGATCCTCCTGTTTCAGCCTCATAAGCTGCTGGCATGCTCCATTGCACCTGGCAAAGCTCTAGATTTTTAAAGTTAAACTGCCAAAGGTCAATGTTTAGAGACTGATGTCTCAATTACAAAGCTCTGGGGAAACACATGGCTACCACTAACACCTGCCTCAGGCATGAAAGGTACCATATATATATATATATATATATATATATATTTTTTTTTTTAATGGTGCTGAGGTTCAACCCATGGCCTTGTGCATGAGAAGCAAGCACTCTCCCAACTGAGATATATCCCCAGCCACTTAATAATTTTTTTTTTTAATATTTATTTTTTAGTTTTCGGCGGACATAACATCTTTTGTTTGTATGTGGTGCTGAGGACTGAACCCGGGCCTCACGCATGCTAGGCGAGCATGCTACCGCTTGAGCCACATCCCCAGCCCCATTAATAAATTTTTTTATTATTTACTTTTTAGTTGTAGTAGGACATAATACCTTTATTTTACTTATTTATTTTTATGTGGTGCAGAGGATCGAATCCAGGGCCTCACATGTGCTAGGCAAGCACTCTACTGCTGAGCTACATCTCCAACCCCACTTAAAAAATGTTTGTTGAAAAAAATGGTCATCCTCTGCTCCACCCAATGGGTGTCATGAGCACTAACAGAGGCAAACACTTGTTTGTTTCAGGGTTTGTCAATATAAATTAAGTAAATTAATCAGCTAAAGACATGTGAATTCATACCTGTCTAAATTTAGCTCTTGCTTCTTTTTCCTTCATTCTTCCATGTGCAACCAAATAGTCAAATACTTCACCTATAATTGAGAGAAATAAAAGGAGAAGTTATACTTCTGAGCATTAATTTTCCCAGAAATTGTTAATGTTTCACTTTTAGCACTACTCTAAATTTTGGTGGTGGCAGGGGGTAACTGGAGACTGTATCCAGGAGTACTTTACCACTGAGTTACATCCCCAGCCCTTTTTATTTTTGAGACAGGGTCTCACTAAGTTGCTCAAGGCCTCACCAAGTTGCTGAGGCTGGCCTAGAACTTGTGATCTTCCTGACTCAGTCTCCTGAGTTGTTCCGATTACAGGTGTGTGTTACCACCATCCACACATAATTTTTATTTTTTTATACCAGTATAAAGTTAGCCAGAAATATGTGGAATGTGAATTAAGCTAGGATAAAGTTTCACTGGGTATTTAAGTTCACCAGTAAAATCTTTAAGCTGGAGAAAAGCCTTAAAATTAAATTCTCATATGCTTAAATTATACAACTTCCATTTAATAGTTTTTTTTTTTTCATTTTACATGTTTTCAATATGCTTTAATAAAAACTGAGCAATGAAAATGGAAAGTTAAAATGAATTAAATTATTTGGGTTAAAAGAAGCCATTCTCCTTGTTGGATGATGGCCACAAAGTATTTCCTGAGTGTGTTAATTCATTCAACAAACATTTATTGAGTGCCTAGTAACTGCCAGGCACTGTCCCAGGTTCTGGAAAAATGCAACAGTGACTTTGGCAAAGCCCCTTGCCCCATGGAGTTTGCCTTTTAGTAGGGAGACAGTGAGCAAGCATGCACCTAGTACATGAGAGGAACTGAAAGTGTGATGTAGAAAAGGTGGGAATAAACAGGAAGAATGTGAGCTTCCTTGCACCCTGCTGGGGACCTTAGAGAGTGAACAATGAATGTAGTTCTCTGAGAGGAAGAGTCTATGGTAAGCAGGAGAAAGAAGCAAGGCAGCCATGTGGCTATTGAGGCATAAGCAACGGGGAGAGGGCAAATGTGGAGGACCCAAGAGGCTTTGGAAAAAACTCTGGCTTTACTGCAGATGAGACGAGAAGCAGAGATAAGAAAATGACTGACCTCTTAAAAAGATCAATGGATATAACAAGGGGAAGGAGTAAGCCAAGAGGAAGGACAGGGAACCAACTGGAAGACCTGTGCAAAAATCAAGCCAGGCATGACAGTAACGGCCCAGAGTGGGATGTGCAGTGGATGAGCAATGGGGCTCAGGACATAATGTAGATGACGCTGGCAGAGCTCACTATCCAACATCCAAGTGCATTTCCACATAGTGTTAACTCCTTGGGGAAGAGGAGGCACCTCAGAGAACACAGTATTAGTGCTAAGTGCTCATCAATTTAGAATGAGGAAACACCACCCCTGCAATCCACAGAAACAATCCTTATTTAAAAAATTTAAAGGAAGATGCTTTTGGGAACCATGTCTACCTAATAAGTGAAAGAAACATGGACCTACATCAGCTTAGTGACAACATTCAACTAAAACATTCCGAGACTTAAAGTCATTCTAAATTATACATGAGTATCTTTGGCTTTAAAACTATTGACCCTAACTCTGAATAAATACATTTTAAATAATGGATGAGTAAAAATATTTCCATTTATCACTCGACTGCATGGTCTTTTAAAAGACTTTCCATGTTAATTTACATTCACAGTGAATTTAATTATGATGAATTGTGAGCTAAATGTCAATTCAGTAAAGTGTCAGCATTTTCTAAGTAAATGATCTTTCTATTTATAGAGAAGCATACATCATCAAACAAGTGGTTAGCAAGTAAAAAAAAAAACTAAAGATGTGAAGATGGGTTATTATTATATATACAGAAGGCAGTCTGACTTAAAAAAAAACAGCTCATTTGCTGTCATAGAGAAACAATGACAAAGTCCAAATATGTCAATATAACTTTAAAAAATCATATTGTTTTTATAAATTCCAAATGAATGGAACATAAACCTCTTATGAGATTTCTAGAATCACAAAGCACATTTACAATTACTAAGTTATAAGTAAGGAATCCAACTTATAAGCCAGGAATGCAACCAAGATCTTTTTTATCCTTATTAAAAATGTATTAACACTCAGATTAAGCAGCTGAACTGAAAACATCTAAAGGCTGTTTACTAGAGAAAAAAAGCAGAGTGGCACTCCTGCCCAGGCCAGGGAACACACAATTGGTAAAACACTGGATAGAGCAATTCAGAACGCCCTTAGCTCTAGTTCACATCCTGCAACCAAGAAGCTATGAACCCTTGGCACAGCACAACCTTTTGGAGACTAGACTATAAAAATTTCGATAGCTACTCTGAATTATTTATTTCTTTTCTTTTGCCTTGGATGATTTCTAAGATTCTTTGCAGTTCTAAAACTTTACGAGTCCACCAAATCAAAAGGCACCAAGCTGGAGGGGAAAGGGCAGCCAATTTATTTTTTTAAATAAAAAAAAATAATATATTTTTTTGTGTGTGTGTGTGGGGGGGCACCTCGAACAAGCCAAGCACTCTATCACTGAGCTACACCCCAGCTCAAAGGCAATCAATTTAATGAAGTGTTTGTGGTATGTCCTAGAGATTGACAGTGTTTGCTAAGGTGGTTACAAGAACTCCGTCAATGAAGTGCTGTTATAAATGCTGAGGGCTGTCAGCATGTCCACTGTGAAGCTCCCAGAAGGATTACTCCTCTGGTCACAGAGCCAATGAGGGTCACTGGCTCGACTCACAATTCTTTTCCAAAGTCCATCCTCTTTCTACTAAACATGGATGCTTCTCAAGACATGTTTATCTTGATTATAGAGCAATCTGTGGCCTAGGCACCTAAAATAGGTGGTAACAGAAAGCCATGACCAACAAACTGGAGAGACTATATGCTGTCATGACATGTTTGCTCCAGGTGTGGGGGTGTGACTCTAGAGCCTACCCAGTTTCCATTGCTCATTGGTAAAAGCCGTGGCTTACAACTTGGTCACATCATGGAACTGCTGTGAAAGTCAAAGAGGCCAGAGAGAATAAGCACCTTGAACAAGACCACACAAACAAGGAGGTTATAGGGCTGGGGATGTGGCTCAAGAGGTAGCACGCTCGCCTGGCATGCGTGCGGCCCGGGTTCAATCCTCAGCACCACATACAAACAAAGATGTTGTGTCCGCTGAAAACTAAAAAAAAAAATAAATATTAAAAAAAATATCTCTCTCTCCCCTCTCTCTCTATCTTTAAAAAAAAACAAAAAAACAAGGAGGTTATAAGGGTTATTCTGTATAGTTTGCCTGTGGGATGAGCAAGTGCTGGAACTCCATACAGAGTTCAGCTCTTCCTCCCTCCCGCTCCTCAAATTTGAAAAATCCCAACTAATTTCCCAAACTGCAAATTTAAAATAAAAAATACAATTCAATTAAGAGTATGAAAGAGTGGTGCCAGAGGTACACTTACAATAATTCTTTCTTTCCCAAAACAGGTTTAGAATCTTTTAACTTAATGGTTAACTTGGTACAATGAGGCTGTGATTCAACCTTCCATCCCCAGATTTTGCAACCTTGATCAAAGAACAAACAATAAAATAAAACTATGATCCTATAGAGTACAACTGGATTTATCTCCAGGAGTTTATAATTTCACAAATGCAGCCTAATTCTTATTTTTTAGTATCTGCTATGTGCTCAGCACAGTGCTAGAAGTAGGGAACACAAAAAAAGATGAATGGGAAAGCTTCTGCACTACATGGGCAGAGCAGCCCTATCAACCTCAACCCTGAAACCAGAGTCCTTATAAAAGACAGCAGCTGTATTCATGCACTGCTGATAGATACAATATCTAGTTTTTACAACCTTGTAGGCAAATAACTACTTGCCCTTAATCTTCATTTTAAAGAAAATCTGTCATTTGTACTGTAACCATCATTTCTAGCCTTTGCAAAGATGGACATCAATGATTTGAAAATCTGATAAAGAAAAGGATCTAACATGTAATACACATTTTTTCCCAACACACTAATGTGTTCATATATTAAAAAATTCAAAACACCTATGAAAAGAGGTATGACGAGCGCGCGCGCGCACACACACACACACACACACACACACACACACACACACAGAAGAACATTACTTGACCTTAAGGAGGAAGGAAACTCTGACACATGCCATGGTGCAGATAACCTTGAGGACATTATGCTAAGTGAAGCAAGCCAGGCACAAAGGACAAACACTGCACGATCCTATCATACTGCTACCTACAGTGTCAAACTCACAGAATCAGGAAGTAGAAGGCTGGCTTCCAGGGACTGAGGAAGAGGGAAATGAGCTGTTAGGGTTTAGTGGGAAGGGATATGGCTTTAGTTTAGGAAAATGGAAAATTTCTGGAGATGGATATTCATGAGGGATGAACAGTAATGAGAATATGCCGAATGGCACTGGATCATACAGTCGAAAATGGTAAGATGTTATGTGTTGTATATTTTAAAACAATGCAAAAACCCAAGAACTTGGATATCATTATTGCTAATAGTGAAACACTTACTGCAATCCACAAAACTGCTAAGGGTCAGCTTTCTGACCCTATCCTAGAGTATTATAACTCTGGATGTTAAATAAAACCTTAACAATTACCTGCCTATGGGCAGTGTGCTGTGCATTCTTTTGAAAGAGAAGAAAAGCAACCCTGATTCACACAGATGTGCTTACCTCCACTTGCATACTCCATGATTAAGTAGAGTGTTTTTTCAGTTTCAATGACTTCAAACAACTTCACTGAGGAAGGGATGCAAGAGAAAAATAAAAACAAAAACAGAAACAGAAACAAAAGTCTTTAAGCATAAACCATGCACATACAAACTCCAACTATGAGAAGCAATTTTTCCCTGTTAAAGATTTTAACAGCTGGCCTCTAAAATAATGTTCTCAGGAATTTTTACCACACTAAAAGTTTTTATAAAAATAAAGAATTCTATAAAAATAAAGACCACTTCTGGGTGATCTGATGCTGTCAGGGTGCTGCCAAGTGTATGTGCTCTATTTCTTCTATCCCTGTCCCTGTTCCTATGTCTGTGTGGGCCAGCTGCACTCTCAGAAGCCTACCTTTCATACCTACTTCTCTCAGCTGGCAAGGGTGGCCCAGATCTACTCTGCACTGCAAGTGTGAGTCTGCTCACTTGTCACCACAGCCTTATAGAGGTGATTCTAACTGAGACTTGCTGCTTAGGGAACTTAACTCTCAAAGAACAGGGGTTTCTTCATCACTATGCTGAGGCCAGTAATACAAAAAGGTAGAAGGGATTATGAGGCAATTAACTGAAAACAACTTTTTTTATAAGAATGATTTTCAGGGCTGGGGTTGTGGCTCAGTGGCAGAACGCTCGCCTATCATGTGTGAGGCCCTGGGTTCAATCCTCAGCACCACATATAAATAAAGGTATTGAGTGCAACTACTACTAAAAAAATGAATAAAAAAAGATTGATTTTCAAGGGGATAGTATAATATTGTTCATTGTCACAGATTAAAATATACCTCTAAAGCTATCAAGTCATCATTTTACATATCTGCTTTGTTATACCGTCTTTAAAATTAAATTAATCCAAAAGAGGAGAGGTATGCTCATCTGTTATAGAGCAGGTGATTTTTCTGATGCCTCAGTAGAGTACTAGGTCAAAGTTCACAATGGCATAATCAATAAATGTCAGATGAACTGAAGAACAAAACCATCAGACCATTTCTTAGACTGGAATATGTTCAGATTTTAAGAAAAAAACATTTGGGAAAGTTAAGGTATATGTGTTGATAAACCAACAAAAAAATGAAATCCCTTTAATATTCTAATGCAAATTTTGGCTCTTATGGAGAAGGATTTTTCTATTTTGGGTGCTGGGCATCAAACCAAGGGCCTCACACATGCCGGGCAAGCATTCTACCACTGAGCTACATCCCCAGCCCTGGAAAAATTATTGTAATACAATAAAAATTTAAAAAAATTTTAATACCAAAGATACTTATCATTTAATAAGTAGGAAATTCTATAACCAGGATACAATTTTAACTAATTAAAGGATAAATTAATATGTTAAAGTTAGTTCTAGGTAATAGTTTTGTTTTTTTGGTGAAAAATTGAAATGTGAAGCTCAGAACTGGCTGGATAACCTCAAAGGGTTGAAATGAAAAGGGAAAAAAGGCAGCTTTCTTCCTGTTGTTACATTCCTTTCGATCTTTCTTCTCTTTCGATCTTTCTTCTCTTTCGATCTTTCTTCTCTTCAAGTATATACTTCATTGATTTCTGAGCTGTGCATTTGTTTCACATTTTAATTACTATCCCCTGACATAAGGATGATGGCTTGGTAGCATTTTTTGTTCTTTGTATATACAAAACAACAATGCCCTTAAGTGATGGTAGCTGACTGGACGACACAGGGTATACTCCCTTTTTCAAGTCCACAGTCGAGTCCAGCTCTGAGTAAGGACTCTATGGTTCCACGTTGTCCTTCTGTCCTTATGCCTAGCTGTGTACAGCCTGTCCTCAACACTACACACCAGCCCTCTCACTTAGACTGTAGTTGCTACTACTATATATAAAATGGAATAATATTATTTAAAAAGCCCTATTATGATATATATGACAACAAAATTTTCATTGGGATACATGTCAGTGTTAGATAATTTGCATATTTAATCTTGTTCCAACAATTACTACAAGGGCAGCAAAACCATATTACTTCATTTTTAAACACCTGGCAATGTTGTGTACACAGAGGACACATAAAATAAATCTCTTTTTAAATAAAATTCCTATAAAAATGTCATTAGATAACAACTATCCCCCCTGCACCACCCCACTTTTTGGCAGTATTGGGAATTTGACCCAGCAGCACTCAACCACTGAGCTACATTCCCATTTTTAAAAAAATTTGAGTCAGGAATTCATTAAATTGCTGAAGCTAGCCTTAAACTTGTGGTCCTCAGCCTCATGAGTTGCTGGGATTATAGGCATGTATTACAGTCCCTGGCTTCTAGTACCCATCTTTTTTTTTTTTTTGGTTGTGCTGGGAATTGAACCCAGGGCCTTATAATGCGAGGCAAGCACTCTACCAGCTGAGGTATATCCCCAGCAAGTATCCCATCTTTTAAATATGATTCAGCATACAAGTATTTTGTAGTAACACAATCACAGCAAAAAAATATTATATCTTTGAAAATATTATTCCTTCTATAATTCCATTCTACTAATGAAATACAATTATATTTTCTAATACATTAAAAAATTAGAAAATTATAGTCTTGACTATGGATGTTTCCACTACATTAAAACTTTAAATTCAGATGCTTATTTAATGCCTGAGCTTTTAACCTGTCTTCAGTAATTTTGAAAGGCTAATACAAATGATCAACTTGTATACATAATTTATTAAAAGTGTACCTGGGCTGGGGATTGGGAAGGAGTGTCCTATCATGTCCTATCACTTTGGGAATACCTGTTTAGTTTTATGACATACTTTTCAAGAATGCATTTAGACCCAAAAATATTTAAGAAAGCAGAAAGTACCTATGTTTGGATGATTTAAAATCTTCATTATTCTTACTTCTCTGAAGAGCTAAAAAAAAAAAAAAAAGAAAAAGAAAGACAACCCCCCATGTTATTAAACATACTTCACTGTTGCAACAGAAATTTAAATTTTCTCTTAGATGCTGATTTGTAGCTAATATTTATTGTCTCATACCTAAGACTAACATGAAAGTCTGGAGTAACTCTGAAGTAGGTTTGTAACCTATTACCAAACATTATTTCCAAATGCTTTCATTTATGGACAACAAGCAGTGATTCCAAAGGGGAGAGTACCACACTCTTAAATTCTTTTTGTGATCTTGAAAACAGCTCAGACTTAAGTTTAATCCCAGGCTAAATCACAGGTTAAAGTTTAATTGCTAAGTTGCTGAGGCTGGCCTGTGATTAAACTTAGTTTGATTCAGCATCTATTCAGGAATTTCACTTCTGTGTATCAAACTGATACAGTCTCAGGAACTACAAAGTCAGCATATGAGATTAACAATTCCAAAAGTTATATAACAATATTCTGAACAAAACCAACATGGGAAATCCTCATTGGAGATGATGAGTAATGCAGCATGGAGGCTGCTGTAGAGTGCAGTATTAGAAACTCTTGTGAGCCAGGCGCCTCCAGGGATATGCAGTTGTGGAGTACCCCCTTTCATGCTGGCTTAAGACTTGGCTCTATTACTTGCTGTGGCCAATGCAACATTAGCAGATTTGAAGCAAGCAGAGGGTGGATAAAATGCATGGGCATTAGGAACTGCTCTCTTACGATGATGTGAAGAAGCAGGTCTAGCCTCTTTGATGATGAAAGGTAGTACATACAAAGAAGGACCCAATGTCCTGAGTCCAGCCCCTGCCAGCTGAACAAAGCCATACCAGTGAACCCAGGTGAGACCTCCAATTTGGATACCATATGGGGACAGCATGGGATGCTGCATTCAGAACTAAGCCCTGTCCATGGCCTGACAGCCCTATACTTTGCAGCTTCTGTCCTTCATTATTATCCTTCATTATGTCCTTCCAGCATCCACACCAGGCACCCTAACTTTCTTTAGTTGCTAGAACATGCTAAGTTAAAGTCTCTTCTTTTCACTATTCAAGTCTTGGGCAGATTCTCAGAAGCTCTCTGGGTAAGTCTCCTTTGTTTTATAGCAGAATCATCTATTCACTTTTTCCTTAGAATGTCTTTTTAGGTTGTGATTATGCATTTTTGTACACCTGTTTATTATACCTTTTCATCCACAGGAGCCTGAAACCAAGCCTGGCACATAAAAGAACACAATCTGTTTGATAAAAGCCTGCAAGAAAGCACTAAATACCAAGAAGTGTGGTGTGAGCCTGCCTCCGTGGCATTCTAATGGCCACAGGGCTTCAATCCTGTTAGAAGAATGGATGCTTGCTACAGAGCTGTTGCTACTCTGCTTGCTGGCAGGACAGCAGGTCAAATGAAGGCAATTATTTTTTAATTCCTATTAGTAGTGCAGTATGATTGAAACAAAGTGAATCAAAGTCAAGACCAGGGGAAAGATGAAATATTATAGAAATTCAAGGAAGGAGGGTCTTACTTCTGTCTAAGGATTTATGCAGACTTAAAAAGGATGTCTACCTCCGAATAAGGGGTTCATGTGTGCTGTGTAAGTGAAGATGGAGAGATGTGACCAGTTCAGGCATTTAAGGAAGACCAAGCGATCCCATTCTGGTCAGAGCAGTGTTTCCACGTGGGAACTCCCGGCTACCCACACCAGTCAACAGGGTGTTTGGGGCAAAGTACAGATTCCTGGTCCTACTTACCATTCCATGTGAAATGGAGTATGAGAATCTTACTCTGTGTGTGTGTATGTGTGGGTGTGTGTGTGGTGTGTCCTAGGGACTAAACCCAGGGCTTCGTGCATGCAAGTGCTTTACCACTGAACAACATACTCTGCCCCTTTTTTGTTTCATTTTGAGACAGGATCTCACTAAATTGCACAGGCAGGCCTTGAATTTGTGATGCTCCTGCCTCAGCCTCCCAAGTAGTCACCACACTAGGTAGAATAATACTTTTCAACAAGCACTTCATACGTAGTCATTTCAAAATGTCCACAATTCCTCCCCTTAAAAGGTAGAGCTACCGGGGATGGCAGTGCATGCCTATAATCTCCTCTAATCTAGAGGCTGAGGTAGAAGGATCACAAGTTCAAAGCCAGCCTGGGCAATTTGGCAAGACCCTGTATCAAAAGAAAAGAAAAAGGGCTGGAGATGTAGCTCAATGGTAGAGTGCTTGCTAGCATGCACAGGCCCTTGATTCAATCCCCAGTAGGGGGAAGATGGCGGGGGTGGGGGGGTGCTAACCTTAGTTACTTGCTTCTAACCAACAGAATGTGGCAGAAGCAAAGAAGGGGGCCCTTTGAAGGCCAATAAGGTCCCAGACAGTACTCCCTTCTTGCTCTCAGATTGCTTGAGCATCATGAGAACATTCAAGCACTACTGTGGATAGGCCCATATGGCAAAGCAGTTAAGTCCACATGCCCACAATCAGTGGTGAACTCAAGTCCCAGCAACAGCCATGTGAAAGCACCCTCTCTCGCAAACATCTGCCGGCTCCAAGCAAGCCTTCAGATGATGGCAGCTGGGCTGACGTCCAACCAAAACCTCTTGAGACAGCTGAGTCTGAGTTGTTAGACAACACATAAAAGTTTGAGAACCTCTACGTTAAAGCAGGAGCCAAGGATTCATGCTGTAAAACACATCAGGAAGGGACCAGAGTTCCTAGCAGGGTAGAGTCAGGACATTACCACACTAACTTCACATATTTCTCTATCAGAATTATGTACTAGGTAGAAACTGGCAAGCAGCAAATGAGTTAATAAACTCTATGCCAAATTACACAAGGACAGTCAGGGGCAGAAGCTAACAGTCACCCAGTCCCTCCAGCGTGTGAAGTAGTTAGATACTTCGCATCTATGATCTCACCTAAATTCTACAAGTTGAAGGGGGATATAATCATCCCTATTTCACAGAGAAGACAGACAAGAAAGGCTAAGCATCTGTCTAGAGACTGAATCAGAGCATCTAGATCTTTGTCTAGAACTCAAAGATCCACACTCTAAGGCTGTTGTCCTGGAAATTGACAACCAGAATAATTAAACAACTTACAAATATATGCTGCTGACAGAGAAGATCGAGAGCAACATGTGGTCTCTGGCACAGAAGCTTTTTAGAAGTTGATAATTTACATACAAGTAAGATAAAAAGATGCCAGCTATTTCACAATCTGTGAACCTGATAGATCATTAAACGTGAACAGGAATAATATATTAAAAGGAAAACATGCACTTTAAGAAGAGTTCCTATAAGGGACCGTACAACATATTTTTAAGTTCTGTTATCTTATTTTTTTACACTTAAAGAGACACTAGTTGTAAAAAAAAAAAAAAAAAAAAAAATCAAAAGCACAGAAATAGATAACATCTTCCCTCACTGATTAATCTGCGTCCTCAACACATTTTCACATACCTTTGAAGATAGGTACAGGATCCTGGTGAAGAGAGTATCAAGCACCCTAAGCCTATTGTGTCAGAGGAGTAAAGAAATGTCCCCACAGCCAGGACTTGATATGCACAGGTGCTATCTTTGGAAAAAGACAGTTTTAACCAACAATATGAAAATAAAATGGAATATAAAAGAACATGAGGGAATTACAGATACAACATTGGTCTAATTACCATGCCATGTATTTAGGTTCCCATCTCTGGGTATACAGGTATGGGACAGAACAGAGGGCTGCTGAGTGGCAGGCTGAATGACACTTCAGGTGCTAGAAATCATGGCAGGAAGCACAATGACAACAAACCTCTTCTTTGGAAGAGGAGATACCCTGAAGTAAAGGGAGGAGGAGGTGGCCCAAGCACACACCCTGTTCTGCACCTCAACTCCTGCAGCCTGCCCACTGAAGTGCCATCCCCTCTTCTGCCCTGGTGGAAGCTGGCAGCCTATTTTTCCTAGAAAGCTGAATCAGAGCATCTAGACATGGGGACCTTGTCCTGAAAACAGGAGCCCATGAGTGGTGACATATCCTCTTTACCCATTTTCTTTGCTTGCCTCTCGGACTCCTCCAACCCTTCTCACATTGTATTGAAAGAGATCGGAGTGTCTCTTTACCCTTATTTTTTTCTGAGAAAAATCAGCTTAGGTGAAAGATATCTAGACACGGACATTCTAGTATCTTCTAGTGGAATGACTTAATCTCTACCTAGTCACCTATGATCCAGTTCTTATGTACACGACACTCAGTTCTGTGCTTCTGTGCCTTGCTCTTGACAGCCAAGAGTCTTGGGATACTTGTGGACAACCAGAGATTTAAAAAAAGGGAAGCCTGGTACAATGGTGCATGCATGTAGTCCCAGCAATGTGGGAGGCTGGGGCAAGAGGACTGCAATTTTAAGCTCAGCATGGGCAACTTAGTGAGACCCGGTCTCAAAATAAAAAATTAAAAGGGCTGGGGGTATAGCTCAGTGGTAGAATGTCCCTGGATTCAATCCATAGTATCCCCCCCCAAACACACAAGCAAACAAACAAATAAAAAAATGAAGAGAAAAAGGAAAACCAGAAGAAGAAATAAGATTACTTTAAACAAAAACAAATTACAGTTGGTGTTTTAAATATTTAGAAATGAGAAAGAAAAAATAACAGCAACCACCCCATTCGCAAAAAAAGAACATGATTGCACTGAAGAAAGGTCACTGGCTTGGGGATGAATTATGGTATCAGAAAGAAATTCAAAAAAAGGGTTGGAAAGCAGTCAAGTGAAATCTTTCAGAAAGCAGTACAAATTCAGATATGAAAATTAAAACCTGAGAATTTCTATGAAGAAGGTGCAATTTATGATACACAGGACTTGAGCAGTAAATGAATAGAGGACAGGAGGGAACTAACCAGAGATTCACAGAACTGCACCATGTTAATTTCCAACTGTGAGGCTTCAGAGTGCTCAGTATAGTAAGTGTATCTGAACCTGCTGTCTCTTCATCTCTTCCCTGACTTACTAGGTCACTCAGGGCC